TAAAACTTTTTAAAAAATGCTTGAAGGAGAAATTTAAAGTCTATTTTTAGTATCAAAAACTACATTTTCTTAATTTTAAAAGTACATGTTATACACATAAATTCAAAAAAAAATCCCAGACGGGTTCGCTTTGATTTGGAACATAACCATGGCAATTAGTGATGACAAAAGAGCTCTTCAAATTAATTAGACCTTTTTCTTGGCCATTAAAGGAAGAAAATGGGCAAAACACAAGGAACGAGCGTTTAGCCCTTCAGGCTTTCTTTTTTGACTATTGAATTTTAAAAAAAGTATTTTACGGTGGCGCTCTTTGGCAGTAATCGACCAAGTTTATTTACTTTTTTCCTTTTTTATGTAAAGGCAATAACAAAATAGACCAACTTTTTGGGATTTTGGCGGAAGGTTTTTGGTGTAGTTTTAGAATTAAACAAGTATTGAAATGAACATTAAAAATACTTTTTAAAATCACTGTAAGCCAACAGAAAACCCGCTGGCAATCCCAAAAATGTCCAAATCCAAACACATCTTTCAATGGCCTGGAACACAAGTTTACCTTGAATTGGATCTATTAGATCGAAGGTATCCTTTGCCAAACGTGAGGTTATAAAACGCTCTCTCGTCTTTTGATTGGGTTTCTCGTAACGAAAAGATGGTTTGGCTTTTCTCTGTCTCTCTGACTTCCTGCCCGAGGAAAGCTGCCTCTTTTTGTCAATGCAAGTAAACTGTGATAAATTTTGATTTATAAGCAACAACTTTATAAAATCTTGTTATAGTTAACGTGCTGTTTAGTATTACGATATCTATTTGTACGCTTGCTTTAAAAAGTATTGGAAAGTAAAATTTTTTTCAAAGAAACACCTTTTTTAGTCATCTCTTATACACTGAACTTTTTATAAATTTATGTTTTGCTTTTTAACTTTCATGATAACTAAATTACAAGTCATTTATCTTTAAACACATTTTTAATTATTTTGAACACATTAATATATTAATCATCCTAGCATCATTCCTTAACATCTCAAAACATGCTGACTGATTTACAAATTTTAACTTCTTTAACCACATGTTTTCTTTAAATTTGCAAAAATTGAAATTTGTTAGTTGTCGTTCTTGCTTTTGGTGTATTTGTCCTCGTCCAGATTGACGTATTTTTTACACATTTGTTGTGTCATGTCCAATATGGATAGGGCACTACATCAACATGTTCTGGAGTGGATTAAACTGACTGGAATTTGCTCTTTCTCTTATTCAATTATCAGCCTTAAATGCGTGTTGACGGATGGGAAAGGGCAGTGTTGTTGACTATACTATTATGTTTGTCTTTGTTATAGGACAAAGTGTTTTATTTCTGAATACTACTGTAAAATCATGAAAAAAATGTCATGAAATCTTGTTATAAAACTACTGGGTGTCCTCTTATAAAATTTTAAGTGACAACTTTTAACAAGAGTTGCTTTTAATAATAACTTTTTTCATTGGTAATAAATTTATTATACATAATTATGTTCACTATAACAATTTTAATGGCTTACTGATAAAGCTCATTTATAGTTAGTTTGTCCTTGTAGAAAAATATCGCTTTTCTTGCGCAGAAAGTCAGAGAAAGAGAGAAGAACCCAACTCTTTTTTGTTACGAGAAACCCAATCAAAAGACGAGAGAGGTTTTTATAACCTCAATTTTGGCAAAGGATGTCTTCGATCTTATAGATCCAATTCAAGGTAAACTTGAATTCCAGACCATTGAAAGATGTGTTTGGATTTGGACACTTTTTGGGGTTGCCAGCGGGGTATCTGTTGGCTTATATTTATTGATTGCTAAATTATTCTTTTTATGTTTGATATTTTTTGAAATTACTGTATAAAGTTTAAATAATTGTTAAAATACGTGACTAGGCTGGGTACACAGTTCCCTTATTTTAGTAAGTGATACATTACCGTGATCTGTGAAAGACTACCATACGGGTTTCTGTTGTTGTTAGCTTTCTTCAGAAAAATGTTGTTCATAGGTACATTTTTTGTTTTACTGCTTTGCATATAAAGCGCTCTGTTGATTTTGGAAATATTTAAAATAGCCTAAAGTACTCTGTAGTATGGAGTAGTTTATGCTCACAGAGCATAACGAAAGTGGTCAAATATTCTTTGGAAATTTGCAAAAGTACATGAAAAAGTTGAAAGGGAGGGGGCAGACTGAACTCATTTTCAAGTTTTAGGTATGCATATGTTAATTTTAAAAGTTTACAGGGATAAATATGTATTTGAATGCAAACAGTTATGAATGTATTAGTAATATTAACCTTTTACGAATAAATTTGTATTTTACTGCCAATTTCAATAAGTTATGTTTTTTAATTTATCGCTATAAATTATCGCTTTCCAGTCAATTTCAAAAAAGTTGAAATCAAAAAATAACTTTTGGAATTTTTGCCAAATTGGCATTGTGTCACAAGCTTGTAATTTTGTCATTTTTAGCTTTTATTAATTTTTCTTTGATATACTATTAGAGAACCTTTAAATGGAGATAAATTTTTAAATTTGTAAGCGTATTTTGTCTGGAAATCCGAAAAAAGTGCTTGATACACAATGCCAAATTTGCCAAAACTGACTTAAGTTTTTTTTATAAACGCGTAGGGGGATTTAATTTAAAAATTCTGTAAGTCATAAATTACGATATTACATAAATACGTTTACAAACTTGCAAAACTGCTGAAATAACCACTGCCTCTCGTATTGTTCTAATATGAACACATGCGTTGGCCAGGAAAGACCGTGGCCACAATTCTTGAGCAAATAATCCAAAAACTTTGTCTTGTTTTTGAAATTGTCTTTCACGCATGATAAATATAATAGGGAACGGCTGAGTTTTTATAACATCTTACGCTTTGTTTACACGTGTTTGTCAACATGTATATCTTGTGTACATATGGGAGGCGGTATACGTTCTTGGGGGCTGGGGAAGGGTGGGGGTGGATTTTGAAATTTTATGGGTTTTTATTTGGAGAGGGAGAGGTAATTACATTATTTTTTACATTTTTTTCATTTTTTTCCGAAATCTTTCATAAATTTTGCTTTAGGGTAGATTTGTAAAGGAGCTGGACTGGGCTCAATTTTTTTGGCACGGCCTGTGGCCTTGGGTTTATATGTCCCGGTCCTGTCCGGTCTAGCTTGACCTGGGGCCTACTGGGCTTCCTTTTAAGTCTATTTTAGAGGTAATACCTTACTGAAACCTTCCTTCTATTCCCCGAGCTCAATCTTTTTTTGAACCGCCTCCTTTATAAAGACAAAATACTTATAATTATATTTATACGTTTTTATGTTCAAGTTCATATAGACAAGTTGCCCCGCCAAGGTCAACAAATTTTGTTTTGAACCCAGATTTATGCCCAAAAAGCGTGAAGAATTAGGGATTCTGGAGACAAAAGAGGAATGGGACTTTTGGGACATATTTAAAGCCGCTTTTTCGAACCCATAACCATGAAAAAACAATGGAGTGAACGCTCGAATTTCCCCCAATTTTAAAGGGTTTCAGTTTGTAACTCTACTCCTTATAGCGACAGTTTGCAACCTTATATGGTATGGTTTCAGTTTTAATGGGGTTGGGGGTGATATTATTGACGTAACGTGACTAGTTATAAAAAACAATTTTGTTATTATAGTTGGGTTGATAAAAAAATTTATTTTACTGGGGGATGGGTTAAGGTAGGGAGAGGGGAGTGGGTTTATTGTATTTTAAAGTTTAAACACAATTGATTTTCTAATTTTGACTTTATAATTGATAGTGTTTAACATAGTTAACAAGTTTTTTTAATTGGTATGTTATTTCCATATAACTTTAGCTATCTTTTCTTAAAATACAGAAGTAATGTTGTTTATAAGCGTATTAGCTATGTATAATATTTTAAACACTATAAGTCGTCTTTAAAACTCTTTCAAGTCTTATATTTCTTAAAAATTCGAGTGTAATGTCTCATACGACGTTTTTGCGTTTTATAATGTTATTGTATTTATTATATTAATATTAGTCGTATAAGGTTTCTTGCACTGTGTCTACTCTTATGTTGTTATTAATAAGGAAAGTACTAAAATCAATGTTTTCTTTAATTTTTTATGCTATTTTTACCTTGTTTTAAAAGTTATTATTAAAAAATTATAAGATTTTGGCTTGCTTGTAACAAACTGTGGACAAGCGTTGACTACAGTGGAACTTTTGTTTAACAAATCGCTTGGCGACTTCAAAGTTGTTTGTGATACAGTAGTTTTGGTATAGAGGGTTTGTAAAATTTAATGTATAGTGTTGACAGAGATTTTTGTTATAGAAGAGTTTGTCATAGATGGGTTTGGCATACAGAAGTTGTGTAGTGTTAGATTTGAAATATTTTTGTTATATTACACGGTATACTGAGAGTTTACTTTATTTAGTTACCGAAAAATCCCCTTTGTAAATGGAGAAGAATGGGACTTTGCACGCCACTCTGAACCAATAGAAAACGAATTATTTCCTTTTTTGACATTTCGCCGCATCACGGTTGGTTTTAAAATTAAAAGCTAAAATGTAAAAAAAACTTTTCTGAAACAATTGCAATTGTGAAATAACAAAAATCATATATTTTTTAAATGTACGTCCTTTATCTGTTGAAATTTACCATTTACCTTTAGTTTCTGCTACATTTTGGTCAAAATAGTAGAAAAAGTTTGAATATCAGGCGAAAAAACCGACCGAAAAACAAAAAAAACGAAAAACGAAATGAAACAAATTATCGGAAAAAGAAATCAATTACGAATCTCTACTTTGACTGATCGGTCGACTTGGGGTGGCGTGCTTTGTCCAAGTGCAAAAGTGAAGCAAGTGCAAAAATCGAAAAAAGCATTTTGAAATTGAAAATTTTGGAGGAATCGGTGTGAAAATTCGAAAAAATTGTTAAATTCATTTTATAAAAAATTTTGAAAAAAGAAACCGGTCAGTCTCACCAAAATTTTTGACAGAGAGCGGTCAGGTTTCAAATATGGGTACGGGTATGGGTACGACATGGGTACGGCTATGGGTATGGTATGGGTACGAGTCAGGGTATAGGCATGGGTCACGGTATGGTTGTGGATATTGGTATGAATATTGCACGGGTATGGGTACGAATAGGGTTATGGGTACGGGTATGGGCATGATCACGGTACGGATATTGGAATGGGTACAGGTATGGGCCGCAGGCCCGAGCCGATTGGCTTGAATATAATAAAATTTATTAAAATTAGCATATTTAAAATAAAATAAAATAACATCGCAACGACCAGACCATAGGAGGCCCGCAGGGCCTCCGTTGGTCTGGTATCTTTTCATTTGAAAAAGGCTACTTTAACTGTTAAAAAATTTTAAAAAGTTATTTTGATAAGGCTTATGTTACTACTTCCTTAATACGGTTTTTTATAAATAAAACGATCAACTTTTGTTAAAACTGTTAGATAAAACATTGTAAATAATACATTGCAATTTGTGTTGCGTTAAGCAGTGGCACACCTTTCAAATTAAACAAAATTTTTTTGATTCGACTTTGCTAACTGTTATCTTTCACCTCACTGATCATGTGTATGTAGCTCATGCAAGTTTTGTAGTTATTAAGGATACTGTGGATTAGTTTTAAGTATATAAAGTAAAACGTATTTAGCATGACCCTCAATAGTGTGACACCCTTATTATAATGACAGCTTTTTGACCGCTCTTTGTTGTACTACTCCTATTAAAAGGGTCTGGACAGTAAGATATACTGGTTATAAAGACAAGTTTGGACTCTCTTTTGAGCGTGATACTAACGAGGACTGTGACTTTAAAACATGGGTATTTTTGTTGACTTTAACTGGTGATTATTGTAAAATATGATTTTTTCTATGTTTCATCAGTTGGGCTTACATCGGACGTGTTATAAAATTTTACCGTACGTGTGCTCAAGTTTTCCAAACATATAAACATACTGATTAATATAACAAAAATGTTCAGATGGAAACAGACTCGATAGGCCGTGCCAGTTCCTTGAGCACGTCGCCCCGATCCTCCAAACTTCGCAAACGCCTTTTTCGACCATTCAAACGACGAAAATCGACCATTCCTCATTTGGACGCGGCCGAATTGGAAGCCAAAGTCCAGCTATCAGAAGCCGAAAGCGATGAAGAAATGTCGCAAAACTCTTCGAATTCGGTTTCAATCAGAGGATCAACAAATGTCAGTACCAGATCAACACCTGGCAGGATTCGGAAACGATTCAATTTGTTTGGAGGTAAGAGCATTTGAAATTGAAAAAAAAAAATTTCGAAAATTTAAAAAATTTTTAAAAATTTTGAAAAATACTACAAAATCATCAATAAAATCAAAAATAAACAAAACAAAACAACAATCACAAGAACAATGTAACAGGAGGAGTTAGTAGAGTTTATTGATATTTATAAAGACTGTTAGGTGCGTTGTCAGCCTCTATACCAGTGGTTGCACATTTCGCACCGAGACAGACGACCCGAGGCATTATTATTCGCGTGGCACATGTATTGGAAACTGAGGTTTGGGGGATTCTCTTGGAAGGACGTCGCGACTTCACTAGAATTTCAAAAATTAATTTTTAAGGTTAAGAAAAAGAAAAACTCTAGGTTTTTCAACTTTTTTAAAACTTCAAAATTTAAAAAATTTTAAATTTTAGGTGAAAGCCTTCGTTTCAGTTTCAAAATTAAAAAAGACGGGTTAAAGAAGCTTTTTCGAGCAAAAAACTGCTAAAAAATTTTAAATTTTAATTTTTTTTAAAATCAATGTATACTGAACAAACTGTAAGACGCTTACCGCACAATGCCCTCAACGTTCTTGATTCTTCTTGGTTTATCTTTGCTGATACGACCGTTGAGAACTGACGAAAGGCGGCCTTTCTTACTTTTGTCGTCGCGCGAAAACTGAGCCTGAAAGTAGGGCGATACATTACCACAAGTTTAAAATTGTTTAAATTTTTCAAAAATTTCAAAAAACTTGTAGAACTTCAAAAAACCAAAAAATTTTACTGTGACAGAAAATAGCCATACGATAGCAATTACACTACTACCGTGTGTTCATGTTGCAAAAAGCAGACTTTAGTAATAATTTTGCTTGATTTTTTGAAATTTTTTTAAAATTCAAAATATTACAAAAAAAATTTTATTTTGTCAAATCACAATTCTACAACAATATTACTATCGTATGGGAAAATATGTTTGTCACATCTTAATATACTACATATCAATATAAAAATACCGCAATCACAAAAAAATAATTTCAAAAAAGTTTCATTTTGGCAAACGGCAACATTGCCATAAATAACACTAATATCGCCATATCCAACCCATAGCAAAGAAATCAAGTATACACCACCCCCACGATGAAAAATTCACCCCATCAACAAAATAAGTAAAAAACGACCAAAAAATCGACCGCTCACCTTGTCCATTCCTTTTTTGGCGAAAGTTTGTTTACGGCCGCACGACAAGCCTGTATCGGTTCGTAGTGAAGTCTGCCGCCATTCCCGGCCCTGAACTCGGTCGGATTTCAATTTGCATATTTTTAGGGCATTCTTTGTTTGATTGATTCGATTCTACTTTGTCTTGAACATGTTGAAAGTACAAAAATATTAATTTAAATAATTTTGACGACAAATTTTGAAGTTTGAAACCTTAACTTTAAATTTTTCAAATCGGGAATTTAAAAATTGTGTAATGTTGGTGATCTAGACTTTTTGAAAAGTAATGTTCTCAAAATGTGAGAATTGAAAAAAAGAAAGATTTTTGATCCACAACTTTTAACATAAACAGCAATAATTATTGCAGCTACAGCTGAAGAATGTTATAGTAAAATTACTATAAATTTTAAAACAAGATAGCTTTTTATGTACCTATAAAGATATTATAAGTTATCATAGACTTTCTCAAGTCTCTCTAGGTTTATCGTCTGTTTAAAGGACCCGTAAACAGGTCGTTTGAAAAGACGGTGTAAAGTTGGTTCGAGCGCAAAATTGGCGTTCCGTTTCAAAGAAAATTAATTTTTTTGCCAAAAATATTTTGGAAAAATATTTTTCATGGATAATATTCGAGGCTAAAACTTACATATTTTTATTTAAATGTGGTCTATATTCTAAAATATTGTTCTCTTGCTCGAGTTTTTCAAGTTTTACCAAAATATACACTTTTACATTGAAATAGTGTGTTTTTGGGTAATATTTTACAAACTTCTGCAGGATTTGATTTAAAATAATGTCGAGAATCGTTCGGTAAGTAGTTGATTTTGTTTTTGTTGGTTTAGGTAAAGAGCTCGATAATTCAGGGAATTGGACACCATTCTTTAGTTTGTGGCTGCTATTTGCCCTGATTAACATAGTGGCATTGATTCAGCGTAATGTTTGAATAACAATCGAGGATTTGGACGTGGATTTGAGCTAAAACATTGGGAGTCGTCAGGCAAGGTGTTGCGGAATCGTTGGAAGTGTTTTGGATAGGAAGAAAATGCAAAAAAAACTAAAAAACAACTGTTTCCTTACCTAAAACAATATACAAAGAAAACTATGAATTTTAGCAAGTTAAGGCTTTGAAAATATAAAGAATCGTTACAGGAGACATTAATCAACGTTTTAAAGGATATAAACAGAAGTTTCACTTCATAAACCCCACAAAAACTCTTCCATATCTTCTTATATTATTGTAGGTAAATTTTCAACACATTTTTGGTTTTATAGTTTGAAATCCTGCTGTTTGCGTTCAATATAACAATTTTAAACCACCAAAAAGGGTTTTGCTCATAAAAATCAACATTTACGCAAAAATTCGTTAACATTTCATCCACAGGGGTTTCCTCCAAGTAACATAAACTAAAACAATATTATGAAGTTAAAAAGCATATATATTATTGTGTTTTGTTTCACGGTAATTGTTAAGAGGCTTAATAAGTGTATTGTTTACCTGGTGTAAAAAGTTCTATAAGGATAATATCAAAAATTTGTTATAAATTCACCGATCACAATATCAAAAGATCAAATTTTTCTTAAAATTTTTATAAACTTACGTTCTACTCAAGACGCTTCCAAACTTTATACAACACCTTGCCTGACGACTCCCAATGTTTTAGCTCAAATCCACGTCCAAATCCTCGATTGTTATTCAAACATTACGCTGAATCAATGCCACTATGTTAATCAGGGCAAATAGCAGCCACAAACTAAAGAATGGTGTCCAATTCGCTGAATTATCGAGCTCTTTACCTAAACCAACAAAAACAAAATCAACTACTTACCGAACGATTCTCGACATTATTTTAAATCAAATCCTGCAGAAGTTTGTAAAATATTACCCAAAAACACACTATTTCAATGTAAAAGTGTATATTTTGGTAAAACTTGAAAAACTCAAGCAAGAGAACAATATTTTAGAATATAGACCACATTTAAATAAAAATATATTAGTTTTAGCCGCGAATATTATCCATGGAAAATATTTTCCCAAAATATTTTTTAGGCAAAAAAATTAATTTTCTTTGAAACGGAACGCCAACTTTGCGATTGAACCAACTTTACACCGTCTTTTCAAACGGGGTTTTTTTGAGGGTTTACGGGTCCTTTAACAACAACATAATCGAGTTTGCGCTATTTTATTAGGTCTAAAATATATTTATAACATAATACTATGGATGTAAGAGTTCGTTTTACTGTTCTCATTGTTTTTCTTAGTCAGTGAGAGAAGTTTACATTTAAAGTAGTCTTCAGCTAATATAGGTTGGATTAACTTCTTTTTTCTTTTCAATCCGTTGTTTTAGCGGGCATTTCCAGCTTATTGGCATTTCGTTCAAAACAATTTTTTGTCGAACAAAAAAAATTTTGAAAGAAGTCTTGATAGAATTTTAATAAATAGGTTTCTGAGTATCAGATATTGTTTTTCTCAATGATATCATACAGTTTAGTACCTTTATTTTATAATTTTTACGCCTTTTTATATTGTTGTAAATATTTTAGGCGTTATGCTTTTAGTTTTTGTTGTTATAGCTTTGTTTTAACCTTTAAACTAATATGATCGTCTTCAGAATGTCGTGAGTTGAATGTAGAAGGTCGTCCATTGCTGTCTTGGCGTTAATCTTCTTCTTCCAATCGATTTCCGTCTAAAACAAGATGCAGCGATGGCAAACTTATCATAATTTGGAACTCAGCTCGAGGAGTAACAATTCCTCCGGCTATAACTCGATTTCCTCGTCTAATGCCAAGTCTTCCGAAGATGAATCATGTATAAAACAATACCAGGACAATATTTTATCCACTCAAACGAGGAAAATTAACCTAAAATCTCGAGTTTTAACGTTTATCCGAAAGTCCAAGATCAAACAGATTGAAATACCCAATCGACCGGTCGATAGGAAGCAACGTGAATTACAATTGCTTTCAGAGGTGTTCAGATGCCATTCCGTGTTACCTACATTACATTCGGTTCAGTTCGATGACAATGACAACAGCATTTGCGACAAAAGGTCAGTTTTTTTGGTAAGGATAATATAAATTTAGATAGGGAGTGGGTAATTGGGAGATAATTGGTGTTTATAGGAGGCAAGGGAATTTGGAATAAGGCTTAATTTTTAAATTTAAGGCCATCCTTATTTTCGAATTTTGTTTTAAAAAGAGGAAAATTTTTTTATTTTAGGTAACAAGTTTTATAATGTTATAGTGGATAAAAATTATGAAATTAGATGCAAAATTGTAAAACTAAACTTGGTATGGTGTTATCAACGGCAGGAATTTATTTTTCATGACGAAAAAACGGCATTACTACTTATATTTATTACTAATTTGAATTACTTTTTACTATAATATTGCTTTTTTAGTAGATCAACCTCAAAACCATTGTCAAAGCAGATCATATCGGTATCCCGACGTTCTTCAGATTCAGATCAATTTATTGAGGATTCTGTGTACTATGAAGATGACATTCCTTTCACAACTTCTAACGAACATGGCTATGATCAAGATCTAAATCAATATCACCCGGCTTTCAGAGGAAGTGTTCCGGCGATGAAAAGCTTGTTGGCAGTGAATAACAGGATTAGATGCAAAAGTGCTCCCAAAGAAGGTAGGTGTTGATTTTTTTGTGTAAAATACGGAAAGACTGTTTTATAGGTATAGTCATGTTATATTAGTTTTCAAACGAGAGTATGTTTAATTGTATTTTAATGTGTAATCTTTGAAAAACAAGTGATTATCGTTGTAATTATTAAAGAGGAGAGATAGGAAAGTGTTTACATGGTTATATTGTAGTATACTAAGCGAACTATTTTTTTAAGCGGTTGCGATGAGGAAGTTACCAATTATATTTTGGTTTTCTGTTATTTGTAATTGACTGTAAATGGTAGTTTGCTCGTTGAAGGCGGGAGTATTGAACATGGTCAATCCTAGTAATAGGCCTATTGCTTTTGGGAAAAAATTGGTAAAAAGGTTTACACATACTGCCTACACATACTGCTCACATACTGCTCAAAAGGGAAGTTTCTATACTGGGGCACGGGGTTACCTCCAAGGATGATTTTTTGCACAGTCAAAGTTTAGACTATTTTATGCAAATTTTCAAAAATTCAAATTTTTAACTTGCATTTTACTGCAATGAATTTAATTTATTTTCCATATACTTCATTTTTGAGTTGTGCTATGAAGACTTAAAAAATTTCTGTAGCTTGTAAATTGCGAGTTACAAATATGTAATTTTCAAAATTGGCACAAAATAGTCTCATCTTTGAGTGTGCAAAAACCCATCTCTGTAGGTATCTTCATCTCCAAGAACGGAGACCTTTTGTCTTTCGGGCAGTATGTCTGTAGCCAGAAATCTTTAAACAGTTTTTAGAAATTAGCCATTTGGGGAGGGGAGTGGGTAGTTTTCTAGCGGTGTATGTCTTTTGAGCAGTGTCTTAAACATGTTTTATAAAAACAGTATAAAAAAGCGTATTTTACATAAACTTTGATATGAACTTTTTTTTGAAAAAATACTTTATTATAACAAATTGAACTTTAATCAATGTAAAAAAGAAATGGGATTACATTCACTTTTTTATTGGTTTTTATGTCATTTTGCCTTCTTATTTTATGGGTTCATATTTGAAATTAATTGGCAGCAGTCTTTAATTAACTTCAAGTAGCTGCAATTGATGTTAATATTGAATTTGAGCTGTGTTCTCTTGCTTATGATTCAAAGATGACTAGTATACGTAACTCTGCAAATGTTTTTTGAAATGATTTTTGAATTTAGTTTGAGAAAATTGAAATTTCAGGGTATTTTTGGAAAGTATAACAATATAATTCTGTCTTTTCTATTTATTTTTGCTATCTTAAAGGTCAATAGATTGAAAAATCGTATTACAAATGTTTGTATATTGACGATATTATCTTTTCTACACATTTAAGGTTATATGTTATGGCTTTCACATAAACATAACAGTTATAAACCACGTTTGGCCTGTTTGTCTATGATATTATACATGGTGTGGTGGACGTTCGGAGCGAGTGCTCTTATAGTATCCTCAAAAACAGCTTTTGCGCTTCCAAGAAGTTTGTGACGTTTAATATTATATTAGAGTAGACGATGGTTTTGAGGAAGTTATTATAGGACGTAGATGTGTTTTGTATCTGTTAAGGATACTGTTGGTTTTTATGCTTACTTTAGATTAGTAGACATCTTTGTATATTGTAGTTGGTATGGGTAGACTTTTTGAAAGAAAAAGAAGGGTTTTTAGGTATATTGAATTAGGTATGGATGAATGAAACCATGATATTTATTTATGTTGTATTAGGTATGAATGATAGAATTAACAAATATGGACTTTTTTTAAAGTTGTGTTGTAGTAGATGAGGATGAAAATACATTTATAACTTTTGTTGTTGCTAAAAGCTGTCAAATTGAGGTGTTTTTATATATTATTCATGTAAAACATGTCAAAAACTGTCTGTTTATGGTCTTTACGTCTTTTTTGCTATGTTTAGGTAATAAAATACGCAAATATTTACTACAAAATCTATTTAAAATCTAATTAACTCTTTTTTGTCATGTTTAATATATGCATATTTTAATGTTGTTATAAATAGTGTAACTTTTATCATGAATAATATAATTTTTTTTTCAGTTTATGACGTCGACTCCACCCAATCCTACGCCGATGATCTTCTCGACCTAACCACACAAACAGCGTTGTCGGCTTCGCGATTGGATTCAACGCAAGATAGTGTTGATACGGCGATCTTGTGGTTGGAGGAGAACTCGTTGCACTCTACTCAAGACACTCTCGACTCGACACGATGGAGAATCAACTCCAGAATCTGTAGCGAACGATCAAAGACTGAAGGATTCAAAGAATCGCGGCTAAAACGAATTTCTGAAGCTACTTATCGTGGCACCGAGTCTAGTCCAGAGAGGTCGCTACTGTCGCTGGACAAAACTCAATCTACTCACGGCACAATACGAATTGGAGATTATAACAACGGCACATTACTGACTGTGGATTCAACTCAACGCACTTTAGTAGAGCTTACACAGAACGGTACGAAGAGGGAGTACTCGGCGTCGGCGGACAGATCAGCTTCATTGGATTCAGAATATTCGGCGGAGGAGGAATGGTCGCCGCAATTGTACTATTCGGTTGATTCGGAACGATTGTCAGAGTAGGTATCTAACTCAAAAAAATTGCTTTGATAGGGGCACAGAATTAATTGAACAACCTAATAATATTGAGTTAGCCCAAATCTGTAACAACTCTTATTGTACTTAATACAGGCCTTGAGTTGTTGAGATAAATGTGCGATTTTAAAGGTTAAAATAGGCATTAGTTTGTAAAGGAGTAATCATAGAAAATATAAATTTTGGAAATTTGAATGACGTAGAAGCAATTTTCCTAAATAGTGAATAATTATACGATCGAATGGAATGTGATATCATTATGAAAAGGTTGAATTTGCAATAACTAATCAGGAATCATGACACTTTATATGGACGTAATTCAATTATTTATGACTGGAGGACGTTCAAGTTTGATTGGCTTTCCAAATTTTTTCTTTTGTAAAATACGGTTATTTCATTTTTTAAGGCAAAAAGTCATTTTAAAGCTTTTTTAATCATAAGAAATAGAAAAAGTATAGATCAGACAGGTATTAAATAATAAGGTAATTAATTCTTGTAATAAATGTCAAAAGAAAGGTCATAAAAACTGATTTTACATTCAAAACTATAAAATCTGTAATTTCTTATGTTATGCAAGGCCAAGTTTGATTAAAATCTTTACAAGGTTAGCTCTGTTGTTTAAATTTTTAAACTTGTGAAGCCTTAATTGCGTTTTTTGTAGGTATACGAGACCAAAGAAGCTCTCTCACAAAGAATCGGCCAAGAAGAAGAACAAAAAAGTGTTGGCCAAGAAAAGACTTCAGAAGCGACGAACGGAGTCGACCGATGACATGTGCTTGAATGTCATCGATGAAGACGAACAGAAACGCAGAATTTTCAAATCGAAAGGAGGATTCTTCACTAATCTGGCCAATAACATTAGGTAAAGAGGGGATATTGTGTAGGGGTGAGAAACGGGTCGTTTATGTCTGGCCTAGTTTGACTGTACGGTGAGGCCGGCCTTGAGCTTAAGTTGAAACGGGCTTGGCTTAAAGTTGGGCTAGGTTTGAAAGTTTGGGATAATTCAAATTGAAAGCTTTCTCAGCAACTTTGATATCACTGAACTTTCGTTATTAGGAAGAGACTAGGAAGGTACCAAAAACTGAGGAAGCTCTACCGCAAGAAATATGAGTGTACACGTGAGGAGTAATAGTAAGGATTAGGTGAATATTGCCAGCGCAATCCATTGTAGCTGTTCCCAATTGGGCTTTATCCAGGTGGTCCCGTTTCTCGAGCTACCGAGTTCTGATGAGTTGCTCATCAAGACTTCTGGCCGTAGTCGGAAGCTTGTGTTGGACAAGCAACCGAGTTTTCATAGTCCTCGTGCACTTAGCACTTCTCATTTATTTGTAACTTACAAATGCATTTGAAGAAAATATAGGTATTATAATATAAAAGTATATTTTGACGTTACTTCTAAATTTACTATCATAATGTTATGATAGCGCACTATAATATAAGCATGGTTAATCTAGGAAGCCATGACTAAAAATACAGTGTAATTTCTGTATAAAAAATTGCTCGAGGGCTGTACAAATAAGAGATGAGTCAGAAATTATTTTAATTTAAATTTAATTACTGGTTTAAACCCCTGAGGGCATGTTATTTCCACAAGGCGTAGTAATCGGAATGAAGAAACCGAATTACCATATTATTCCTTGTGTCAGGATGGTGGTATTGTGACGAGTGCGATGGGCTTCTCTGATTATAATAATAACAACCAAAGAAACGGATTATTTTATACTTTATGGTGTCTGTGTTGGCCTCGTTCTTCTTGTCATGTTTAGTTGTTGTACAAGGCGACCGAGGTAGGATGGGTAGTGTAATGTGAAATAGTGTTAGGATGGGGTAGTATGTATGTAATAATAGTAGGACGGGGTAGTAGAATGTATAACAATATTTGAATTTAAAAGCTTAAAGTTTAAAATGGCTTCTTCAGTAAAATACGACAGGAAAATTGAATGATAAAACGTAGTTATCAAAGCTTTTGAAATAAAAGACGTCTTGTACAGGGAAGAAAATATATAAGGAGAGCATAGTAATAGGCCTTGTATGAAAAATGTTTTTTCTTCTTTCTTGGGGGGGGAGGGTTGTCTACGGTAAAATTTTATTATTAAACCGACGGTAAGAACCTGACTTTAAAGTTATGTTAAGCAAGGTAGTGTAGAGTAGGGTAGGGTAAAGTATGGTAGGGTAGGAACATGTTTAGTATCGTACAAATTACTTTATTATTTTTCAGAAATCACTCACGAGATCCACTAAATCGAATCCGGCGACGAAAGAAGAGTCTTCAGCTACCACCAAAGCCAGCGACAGTTCAAAACAAACGAAAATTGTTTTCAAAAACTGTAAGTTTGGGTACAATACAGAAGAAATTTGTATATTAACCATGTGTTTTGCTATAAATTGACAGCAAAAAAGTAAAATGTATTTTCATTTGTATTGTCTTATTACTGTACCAGGGACGTCGTTTGGGGGTGGATCGGGGTGACTCCCCCCCCAGAGAAAAACCGTAGCGACGTCCCTGTACTGTACATATAGTAGAGCAAAATACGGCGTGTTGCGGAAGCCTATATTTATTATGCTGGTTTTGTATGATGAAGTAACGATAGCATATTAAAGTGGATTAATTTTAGAAAAGTCTTAACGAAGATGAAAACACGCCGTCAACAGCGACAACAGTCAAAGCCAGTGCTCTCAGTTGCATCAAAAATGTCATCAACAATATGGTAAGGATTTGTTGATTTTTTCAAAATTTTTTAAGTTGGTCAAAAAGTTTGTAGAAAGGTCAGTAGGATCTTAAATTTCTTATCAATTCAAGGTTGTTCTTTTAAGGCTTTTTTACGTTGCCTAGGGTAAGATTCTAATGGCAGTGTAGTAACTTTAGTAGACGCCTTGTTAAAAGTGCAAAAACTCTAAAAATATTTATTATTTTTATAAAAATTAGCATAAAATATTGATATGGTTGAAAGCGCACTTTCAATAACCTTGTTTACAAAATTTTGAAAATTTTTTCATTTTTTGCAAATTTCAAAACGAGAAATATGAAAAAATGAAAATCTACAAATCCGGTTGTCCGCAAAAATCCGAAGTTAAATTATGGGGAAAAAGAACGCTGGGAAAATTTGGGAGAAAATTTCCAAAAGAAAACGGAAAAAGTCAACGGACAGCGACAAGAAGTCAAAGGATAGTCAGAAGAGCGACAGTAACAGAGACAAAAAGTCAAAGGTAATTAATTTTTCAGGGTTTTTTTATTTGAAAATTGAGATTTTTTAAATTTTGAGATTTTTGTTTTTTAAAAGTTTTTCACGTTAGAATCTTGGTTAACGAACGATAGGGGCGGGAAAGGACCATGTAGGTCTGGCCCTGTACGATCGTAGGGGCAGGGCCTTGCGCTAAATTTTGAACGGGTTTAAAAGTTTGGCCTTGCTTGCACGCTGGGCTTGAAAAGTAGTCCCGGGACCCAAAATTTAAATCAAGACTTCAAAAATGTTGTTATAGGTCTTTAAACATTATATTATATGTCTTAACGTATGTATGTTAATGAGAACCATATGTCAACATGCATGAACATACGCCAATATTTTTGCTTTTTTCTTGGTTTTTAAAACTTTAAATTTCAAAAGTCGTTTATACGATTATTAAAGTTACTTTTGTTAGAAGCAGCAGTAGCGTCATAATCTATTTACTATAGTTCGATATTGCTTATATTGGCTATAATGAGAGGCTCTTGTAAAGCAGTATACTAATATATAAAGGTATTATAAGGCATAAATACTACAAAGAGGTGTTATATTGCTATAGCTTATCAAAACTAGATCAACTATTCAAATTGATGAGACATAGAAAAGATATTGCAGTATGATTGACTCACAATAGGAAGAACGTTTATGTAATAGTAGGTTGGAGCTAGATTATATTATTGTCGCTCGCCGTGTGATCAAATGCAAATATTTTTATTTGTTTTGAGAGCGTGGAAGTGATATTGTTATAGCTATTGAGGGAGTTTGAACTCTATTTTCGAAAGAGTTTTCCAGATATTTTTGTATTTGAGATAGAAAAAGATTTAAAATACGATTTGTCAGCTAATTTTTGAATATTTTACTCTACTTTTACTGTACAAAAGGCAAAATATTGCTTTAAAAGTTTTAGAAATCAGGGTCAAAGATACTACAAAGTAAATTAAAGTGTAAAATACGGTTTGTATTTGTTGATGGTTATCAATATCAATAATATTGTTGATGGTTGATGCTCCAAAATATATTCCAAGTATTATTAGTACTATAAATTCACCATATTCGTAGTACTAACTCTTTTAAATGCGACGAATATTGCGCAAAACTCCCGGAGAACAAGCACCTCTGCTAAGGGAAGACGGTAGCTTTATCTTCACGGAGAATCATAAAGTTGAAGTTCAGGTAAATAATGGTACAAGTTGTACAAAAAATGAAAAAAAAAGTTTAAAAATGATTTTCAAACTTATTTTCAACTTTTCTACAAACTTTTTGACCCGTAAAATGAAATATGTCAATTTTTAAAAATTTGGTGCAAAAATGATGAATTTAGGCTTTTCTATGAACTTTTTGACCGATGAAATGAAATATTACGTTTTTCTATGAACTTTTGGACCGGGATCTTAGGATTTTATAAAGTTTTTTCCTGAAGGCATTTTTTTCATAAATTTGCGAATTTTTGAATTTGGAGAATTAAAAGTTGATTCTCTAAACTTTTGGACCGGCAAAGTCTTTTTTTTACACATGCTTTTTTAAAAGTTTAAAAACTCTATATCAATTGTAAAATTGAAATTTCAGGAAGAAGACGTGGACGGAGATTACGTGACATTTCGCCTAAGGGTCAGGATTAAGGAAGGTCACGGTCTGGTGATTCGCGACGCCTCAGGCTCTTCGGATCCGTACGTACGGGTAAAATACAATGGGAGAAACATCTACAAGACCAACACCATCTTCAAGAACCTGAATCCGCAATGGGACGAGGAGTTTGCTTTCCTAATCGACGATCCAACTCGACCATTGGAGTTTGAGGTATACGACTATGATCGGTTCATGTCCGACGACTTCATGGGTGGGTCGAAGGTGGAGTTGGCATTGTTACGGCTTTTTCAGTAAGTTTGGAAGAAAATATCTTTCTTCGGGCTGGGAGGGGGGGGGGATATTTTTTAAGAAGGAGGGGTGTTTTTTTATGTGGGGGATGTTTTTAAAATTTTAAACGACTTTTTGGTTTTTAGAAGTTACTGTTTCAGTTTTATATGTTTAGGTAATAAAAATTGATGAATTAAGTAAAAAAGAAGCCTAAAAGAATAAAAATTGTTATCTTATAGTTCAAGGCGTCATTTTTAAAGCAGATTAAAACTGAAATTTTTAGAGATTCAGATCACAAGCTGATGTTAAAATCAAATGACGCGAATGAAGAATACATGGGTTATGTGACGGTATCGGTCAATCTAACACCACTGACTCAAAAACAACGTGAAGTTGTAAGTTATCTGGGCAGGAACAGGTGTTATTCATTCTCTGGGAGTTTGTCACCTCATGGAATTAGGTTACAATAGGTCACTCTGCTGAATAGTATTATTTTATGGTGTTTGCATTAGAAACGAGGATTTTTGAATTTTGCATTAAACAAGATTTTAAAATATTTTTTAACTCAAAAAATTTTAGTTCCTACAACGAGCAACTCGTGGCGTGATAAACGAAAATGTGAAGCGAAATCAGAAGACGGCTTCAATGTGGATATCGGCCGTAAACCTCATTCTCATCGAAGCCAAACTCAACAAAGCCGTCCTCTATGCCCAAGCCAATGGCCAGACCAAAGAGGAGGATAAACCTAAAACAGGAAGCATACTGCCAGATATCCATGCCAAAATAAAGTTGGGGTCAGAGAAGGTCAAGAGCAAGGTGGCGACAAAGACATTGGAACCAAAATGGATGGAATCTTTTGATTTACATGTTTTTGATGCCAACAATCAAGTGCTGGACTTGATGTTGAGGGACAGTGCGAAAGTGCTGGGGAAGTAAGTGGTTTTGTTGTTTTAGGTAACACAGTTGGAGAAAGTTAACAGTACTTTTTGAAAAGAAGAAAAAAGGTGGTAATTTTAAAAGTATTAGGTTGTTCAAATAATTCTGTGCTCCGGGGAAGTAGGGGATAACACGAAATACATCAAGTTTTTGGCGAATATTATTTGACATGGGCCCGCCTCAGAGCAAGTTTTTGGGCTTAGTGGGCACATGATTATTTGAACGATCTAATATTTGGAATTTTAAAAAAAAATTTTTGTAAATTTCAGCTTAAAAAATTTAATTTTAAGCTTTATGCCTTCAACATCTGCGCTAGGTTTAAAATTTAAAATGCCGACCAGAAATAACCGTGTTTCAGAGTATCAGTCGATCTCAAAAGTTACCCACAAAATTTATCGACCGAAAGATGGTTCGATTTGGAGAATGGAGCTGGCGAAGTACTGTTAGTCATCACCATCTCCAAAAACTCGTGTTATCAAGCAGAGAGCTTGAAGGAGAACATGCAAAGCGAGAGGAATGCCATTTTGAATCGATATGTAAGTCCTCAGATATGATTTTAAAAAATTACAATAAAATTTTTAAATATTTTATTTGAACGTGAAGGTTAATTTGATTTTTTAGTCATTATCTAACACATTCAAAGACATCAACGATGTTGGGCATCTGGTTGTTAAAGGTAGGTAAAATACGAAAGTTATTCTATGTTTTTGTTATTTTTCTAAAATACGAAAATTACTTTAGCAATGTATGCTATATAATAGTATGAAGGTATATGAACTAAATTATATGTTTCATCTTTAGTATACAAAGCAGAAGGCCTAGCCAGTGCTGATATCGGAGGCAAATCAGATCCGTTCTGTGTGTTAGAGTTGGTTAATGCTCGTCTTCAAACGCATACTGAGTTCAAAACACTTCATCCTAACTGGCAGAAGTTGTTCACGTTGTAAGCGATTTAAGGTTTTTATGCTATTCTCAATTGAAAATACTTATTTGACTTTATGAAAAATTTATAAAGAACGTTATTATGACATGAATAACATTTTTTAATATTTTACATTTGGTTCGAAAGCTAATTTTGATTTAAAAATTTATTTTTTAGGAAAATTTGAATGGATAACGTATTTAAATGTAAGCTTAAGTGATATTGTGTTAGATATGAAGCTACTTGTATTTTATAATAATTTTTAATGTTATTACAGCTCAGTAAAAGACATCCATGAAGTCCTGGAAGTCACGGTGTTTGATGAAGATCCAAATAACAAAGTTGAGTTCTTGGGGAAGGTTGCGATACCCTTGTTGAAGGTAAATCCACTTTAGTTTTGTAAAAATATTAGATCTATAACTTTTATTTTAGTTTAGGCTTGTAGTGACAATTAAAACATTTTTATATTAACGATAGACTTAAAGCTACAATGAGAACTTATAAATTTATAGTTTTTTTGTCTAACCTTATAACAGCCTCATACCTATATATTTTCTAGATTAGAAACTGTGAAAGTCGCTGGTACTGCTTGAAAGATCGCAAACTGCAACGCCAAGTCAAAGGCCGTATTCTCCTCGAAATGGATGTCATCTGGAACCCCATCAAAGCAGCGATAAGAACCTTCAATCCACGAGAACGAAAGTTTGTCTCCCAGAATCCAAAGTTTAAACGAGCGACGTTAGTTCACAATGTGAATCGGCTGAAAGACTTTGGTCGAAGTGTTGTTGAGTATAGTGACTACGTTCACAGTTGTCTGGAATGGCAGTCGTATCAACGGAGTTTGACTGCAATGACGGTAAGGGTAAAATACAGCAAGCCTTGAAAAAATTTTTTTGAAAGAGTAATAATATTTTACTCTTTATATATATACATTATCCACCTTTTCAGATATTCATGTTGTTTGTCTACTTTGTGGAGATATACCACTTCCCTCTCATCCTCCTGGCCATCTTTGCTCGATGTCATTTGTACAAAAAGGTCAGCGAATCAATTGAGAACCGCTTCTTCCGCCAACGATCAACCGACACTGTCGACAACGTTCCAGAAATCAACGATGAGGATTCGGATGACAATCTGGATGGACCATCGGTAAGGATAATGTTATTTTTCTTGTTTTAGTGACAGTGTAAAATATTGTTGATGTATTTGTGGCACTGTGATGGTATGTAAAGGTAGTTTTGGCACTATGATAAGTTTTATTGTGTATGTACCCGTTTTGATCTTGAAATTGTTGTGATAGTTTTGTCGTATTTTAGTCCCGAACTCGAGTAAACTCGAAGGAAAAGGACAAACCGAAGGAGCCAGTAAGTTGTGTTGCTTTATTGTTTTGACTTGTCATTTTTTTATCGTATTTTAGTTTTTTTTTTATAAATTTCAGTTTGAAGTGGAATTTTAAGTAGATTTTTGTTTATTTAAACGTATATATTTTGTTTTATCTTTGCTTCAATGGTATGAAAACGTAGGAAATCAATTATTATACTCAGTTTTTGATTTTATAGAAAGTAATAAAATAAACATTAAGAACTGTAAAATATAATTTCAGGGTGAAAGGAGTCAAACTCTTCGAAGTCGTATTACTCAAGTAACCGACACACTGGCCGTGGTGCAGAATTCTATGGACTTTGTCGCTTCGTTATTGGAACGGATTCGAAAGTTCGTTTTTTATTTACAGGGTGTCCAAACTTTTTTGAAGGAAAGTAAAAGCTCCGTTCTCAGAAAGTACTGGTCCGATTTGAACGATTTTTTTTGCACTAGACTAGAAATTGCGGGCGGATTTAAAACGGACCAATACTTTTTGAGAACGGAGCTTTTACTTTCCTTCAAAAAAAGTTTGGACACCCTGTATATAATATTAGGTTGTTCACATAATTCTGTGCCCTCTATGAAATCAAATTTATGGGTTTAAGGGGCACAGAATTATTGGAACCGTTTAATATTTTGAATAACCATTTCAAATGTAAATATAGGTTTTAAAAGAGTCCGTTTGTGACTGTGGTTACGATGAATCATTTTCAGCACATTCAACTTCACCGTGCCGTACCTGTCTTACCTGGCGATATTCGTTCTTATGGCAGCGACAGTACTATTGTATTTCGTACCGTTACGATGGGTCATTATGGTCTGGGGTGAGGTTTGCAATGATTTTTTTTGGAAAAGCTATGATTGATCAACAGTTTGATCTATTATAATATTGTTTCGATCTAAACCTTATAATTATAATAACAATCCTGAAAGAAGATAGATGTTAATATATTACTATGATAATATAAAATGAAATAAAAGTTATTTTAGGTATCAACAAGTTCACAAAGAAACTCAGAAAACCTCATTTTGTGGATAACAACGAACTTCTGGACTTTTTGTCGCGAGTACCTTGTGATGCTGAACTGGTAGGTTAAAGTCAATGTTGGCATAACCTAGTATGTTTTTGGTACTACTAAAAAATAAACTTTTTGTTACCGTATGTATAATGACACACCATTTTAGCGAGCAGCCCGAGAACCTAAAGCTAATTGCGAAGAACCAGCTCATCTACCGGTCGTTACCCAAAATGGCAATGTAAATCGAGAAGAAGCCGCCGAGAAGCCAGTTGATTGATACGCCACAGTGTAGTAAATGTCATATATTGTCGTGTTTATGAGGTCATGTAAAAATTGAGTCTAATCTAGAATTCGTATGTTGTACTACAACAATTTTGCCTAAAACATTGTCATTGTTATGTACAACAACTTTTTACAGGACAACAATATGATCTTGTGAAAAGTTACTGTAATGTACTACAATTTAGTTACATAACACGCTGTTGGCATGTACGGTGTCGCAGGATATTTTAATTTGTTATAGTAGCTTTCCTATCTTGTCGTTTTAGATTCTTACCATGTAAAATATAATTTAAATTGTTTTAGACCGTTTAGTTTTAGTATATATTGTCTATTTAGTCGCATTGTTGTATATTCTTGTGCCTTCAGTTAATCATAACATTCTTCAAATACAGAACAGCTTTACTATAGGTTTCGTGTTGTCTTTATAGTTTTATCATGTTATCTTTTATTTTTCTTGCTACATTTTGTCAAGATAACATAACACTACATACACTCCCCATACTGAACACTATTTCCACAGTAATCGATTGTAAAACACAAAAACAATCCAATACATTAATCTGGTCATTCAAAGGGTTAAAAAACCCTCGGGTCTCTATTTTGGTTTTGTCACAGCCATTTTCATGTTGCCTTAATACTAACCACCGGTCTTTTCCAACCTTAACTTATTTTACTAACGCTTTAATCGGCCGCATCTTGTTGTTACAATAAATATTTTCATGTTTATATGGGTATTAGTTTTAACACTAATAAAATACGAAAAATATATTCGTTGCTCAAGGTACAACATAGGAGAAAGATTCTCCGACCAATACAATGTTAAGAATTTTATTTTACAAAAGCTATTGTAATTGTAAGGTGTGATAGACAAAATAAACCAAATTTTGCTAATTAATTTTCTTCACGAGCCCATTTGCTACCGACATGAGTGTGTGAGAATGAAGAGATGCGAGAGAAGGACCGACGTCGATCCTGTGATGGATAGATAGGCTTAGCATCGGCCTTATTGAAGAATTGGATCAAGTTTTGTACACGCACTTTGGGTTTGGGAGAAGTGGGTTCGGGATCCTGAAAGAAATACCATTTTCAATCAGATACGTAACTTAATATAACATATTTACAAATCAACAGTAACCCAATGATACACTCTTCAACTCCAATAACGACTTTTAACCCCACATGCACCAAACTTCCAAAAAGTAATATTACACTAGACCACTTACCCTTCTGAACGAAGAAACGTTGTCCTTGTCGTCTCTCGACGTTCTTCTGATAGGTGTAGCATTCAACATACTGTTAAAACGGTTATCTGCGCTTCCGTTGCTTAGACTGAAGTTAGAAGAAGACAACGATGCCGAAGAAGCAGTTGGAGAGATCTGATGAACGGTGGTTAAGGATTCCGCGAAACTGAGGCGTCGTTGAGGACAAACGGCTAGTCGAGGCTGTAACTAACAACATAAGATTATAGTCGTACTAAAGATAATAAATTTTAAAGACATTTGTCATTAGAATAGTGAACTGTAGTCGTTTCCAAAATTACGCCACATTACACCCATTAGGTCAAACTCGACGCGAAAAATTGCCAAATTCATAAGAAAAACCTTTTGAATACCTTAAAATCCAACAAAAATACCCCCTTTAAATTCAAAATCTCCTTTCCATGCAAAATTAATACCTAAAAGTCCCAAAACAAACAAAATAGCTTACCTTCGGAGTTGCATCACAAGTTGTCGCTCTCATAATCTTGTCGATGTCTCCATCCGTAAATTCCAACTCTTTCAATTCCATCGGATTCAGCTTCAGAAACTCCATCGTAGAAAACATTTCCAAGCCAGCACAGGCAGCATCACTTCCTTGATGGCGAATATTGAGAACGTTGAGGATGCCTTCGACTGTTGTACATCTTCTAACCTTCTCCTGAATCGTGCTGTCCTTTTTCAATGCCGATCGAGATGGCTGAAAGTATAAGATACATTACTGGAGTCTTTACACTATAAAACGAAAACATTGCGTCGAAATAACACATCAAAAAGAAGGTATGAAGAGGTTAACTTACCATAGAGTTGCTGAAATAACATTTCGTCGCCATTTTAGTGTAACAAAGTGTCAAAATTAATTCAATGTACAAGAAGGTTCCAAACTTAGAATTAAACCTCAAAGCTACACAGCCGAGAATGGATCTTGAAACTTCGGTGAAAATGAACGATGAAATTGACGATATCTCGAGTCAACTCTTCCTCTTCTAAATTTTTTGTGTCAAGCTTTGCTTTTCGAAACAGAATTTTGTTTTACTGATAAATCTTTGTTTTTATTTATAAAACATGGTGAATTTTACTGTTTTATAGTAAGTTATGTATTTTAAGAAATTAGGGATATAATTCTTTATAATTTTAACGTGTATTCATTGATTTATATTGTTATTATTGCTTTGCCTCTAAAATAATATTATCTTTGTAAACTTTTAATTATGCTCAATGTAATATACAGTTTAAACATGTTTAGCGATCCTAATGTGCAACAACCTATTAACAATAAGGGGATGAACGTTCGCAGCTGCAGATTGCTTGTTAATATTGGCCGGTTTTCCCAACAACGTCTGAAATTACAAGATTTAATAAGAGAAACCGTTAAATGGTAATAAAAACGCCTCAGGGCGTGTTGGATAATTTATTCAGCAGCGGTTCTTTATGTTCGGAATGGGCCCAGTGATTTCCATTTACATTCTTTTCCTATGTACAATAATATCGACACTTGAAGCATGATTTTGAGGCTTCTGCTCGGTTTGGCCGCTCTTCAGGCCACACTGGCTAGCCATTGTGTTGTCAACAATAGTCCACTGTAAGTGCGGGTTCATTTTGTTATGAGGGGTTATCTAAATTTGGTTTTGAATGCTGAAAAAAAGCATTTTGCTTATGTTGTCTATGGTGATGATAGGATTTTTGGATGTTTTGAAGTTTCTAACAAAATTTTATGTTGTAGCTTTAGAGTAAAGTAATTAAAAGCTTTTATAAATTCTTTATAATGTTATGGGATATTCATAATGGCGGGTTTGTTTTAAGTCGAGCGTTATTTTGTGTTGTTCAAGGTATAGATGGGTGTTTGGGATTTCTTTCAATCAAAGGCTGCATTCTTCGATAAATTCATAAAAAGTGTGGCAAAGCTTTTTGCATAGTCTCATGATTATTATGGTATGTATTAAATTACCAAACTCGTTTTATTTTTATTAAAAAATTGCGTTTTTTTCGATGTTATCGTTGATCCTGTTTTTGTTTTGTTTCTTTTGCATTTAGGTGAAGTCTTTGAGTAACTGTTTGAAACTGAGTAAGGTATAACTTTGTCTTGGTTTTTTATGTTGGTCTTTAAAATTTTTAATAGTTTTTAATTTTTATTTAATTCAATTTTGGGATGCACTTTTGTTTCCCAATGTAATCAATTGATGTCATTGTTTTACAGTGTTAATAGAGATTTTGAAACTCAAGCGTAGGGGTTGCTATGATTCATGACGTCAATCTAAACGTAACATGTTCAAGTCGTATATATTTTAATTTGTTTTGTCACAAAGTGATGTTTTACTTTAGAGGAAATCGAGCATCCAACTTGATTTAAAGTTTCAGTTTTAAGCAATTTTTTGGGTTTTCTGACAAATTATGGCCAAAGAGATATTGCGAAAAGGAAAAAGGGTATTATTATATTATGAGTGTTTATTTTTAGGACATTGAGCAGTAAAGATTGTACGTCAGTTACCTTGAAGTTGAGGGTCGATAAATTGAATGACATTGGATTTAAACAAAATATCGAAGATGGATCTGTGTGTAATGCTGACAATGATGTTGAGTAAGTGAAAGTATTATAGCTACTTAATTTCAAGTTTTGTTTCAAAAACTTTGTTTTGCTTAAGATATTGATGTATGTTTTGTTTAGAGTGACGATAGTTGATGAAGGTTGTGTATTGTACCATGTGAAGAATGTATTTGACGGTGGGAAGAATCGTACTCAAATTTATGACAGCCAAAGTGAGGGTTTTTTAAAACTATGGTTAATGTATAAGCTCTAGTTAAAGTATAAGATCTTTCTTACAGCTTATAATTAATATGTAAGCGTATAAGCCTTAATTATGGATGAAAGAACAATTGATAAAGGTTAATATTAAATTGCAGTGATTACGTATAGCTTTAGCATATAATTTTAGAAAAGCTGGTGAAAGAAGTGGAAAAGCTGTCAGGATTGGAGTATCATCTACTTTCTGGAGATACAATTGAAGGTAAAGTAGAGGATGTAAAGTATGCGCTGAAATGTATGGATAACAAGAAGAACTCCAAGCTTTTGGGTGTAAAAGTCAACTTCAAAAAGTCATCTTGTCATGTTAGACTAGAATTTGTGAGCTTTTTGATTTTTTATTGAATTCACAATCTACTAAGGCTTAGAAGTTGCTATATTATGGTTTAGTACCATCAAATATTAACTCTAACTAATTTTACTATTTTAGAACAAAGAGGTGAAGCAATTCTACGATGCCTTCGACTTCTTATGGGACCACTTCTTCCAACTTTTCTTCGTTTTTCTGTTTCTCGTTTTACTGTATGTTTTAATTATTGCTTACTACATCGCGATGCATCGTATATTAGTTTTTATTTTGATTAAAAATTTGAACTTTGACGAATTTTTAACAAGGGGCGATAAAACTTACTGTTATGACAACACTTGTCATCTTTTACTATTTTTGGGGTTTTCTATGTAGTTTTGGACCGTTTTTAACCTTAAGACGTTTTATGAATATGAGGTTTACTCTAATATTTATGATTTCTAGGATATTGATGTTGATTTGCGTGTTTTTGCGTCAAAAATCGATGAGTAGACGTCAAATGGACATTACTAGAGAGGTGGGTTATTTATATTATTCTATAGAATGTTCCTATGGTTTTTTTTAATCAAAATCTTTAAAAAATAATGTTTTGAACAAAATTTAATTTTTTTCAAAATTTTGTTGCTGTAGAAGGTTTTACGACAAATATCGCTTCAGCCCGGCTTTGACAATCCAGTAGCAGTTCGAATTGAATCTGACGAAGTGAAGCCAGAGACCGAGATCACCGTAGTTACAGAACAGCCCCGCCACAAGAAGTCTGTAGTTTTGGAGTTGAGAGAAGACTTCAAGATGGCTAGTTTGGATGTTCCGGCGACAAAACGAGAAAGCGATGGAGAAGATGAGATTCTGGTGAGGAAACACTCTTCAGAAGTCGATAACCTTGGTCCGAACGCCAAAATACAGAAGATTATTAACAGGAAAAAGGCTGAAGAGGCGGCCAAGGATGGTGGTGGACAGGGTAAGATGTGGTTTGTCTTTAAAGTTCAAGTTTATACCTAAAAATGAGCTGAAAATGGTAAAAATGGGGATTTTTAAAGGTTTTAGTGTCATAAAATACGATTTTTGTAACTTTTTCAAAAATAAATTTTGGCAAAAGAACCTCTAGAACACAACTTCTCAACTGAAGAACTGACAGCGCCACAGATCGACCAGTCGGTTGAAAGTGAGGATGATCATTCGACTAAGATTGAATTGCCGAAAATCGACCAAAACTCGGATATTATGGATGAAAAAAGCTCAAAATCAAACGAAACCTCGACAAATCAATCAGTTATTGAATGTTCTGAACAATGCAAAAAAGAATGTCATGCCCAAAAACTTGAAAATGGAGGAAATCTAGATGGAAACGTAGAAAAAGACCTGGAAATGGCTCAAATTGAAGAAAAAAAGAAAGAAATACCGGTCGAAAAGTATCAAGAAGTAGATTTGGACGAATTATTTGGTCGATTGGTTGATGGTCCCGAGAAGAGAAGTGTTCATAGTCAATATTCGGACAAGCATGATGAAGAAGGTGATGGCATTTCGAATAAAGATAGTCGGAAGGAAAAGAAATTGACCAAGAAGATGAAGAAGGAACGACAGAACAGTGTGAGAGCGAGTGTCAGAAGAAAGGGCGTGGTTGTCGCGGATATTACTGTAAGTTTTGAGGGGTTTTGAATTATTTTTTAGTTTTAACTTTAAATTTATACTACTAGTTTATAAGACGGTTTTAATTGGCTGCTGCTGTTTGTGCAGCTTCAAAATGAAGTCTGTAAGGATAATGTGGTAAAAATTACATAAATTAGCGATTTTCTTTTAAAAATGAGGCCTAAAATTTAAAAGTAAGTAAGTTCTGGTCAAAATATTTTAAAATATGACAAACTTAATAAAATTTCAAACTTTTTTTCATGAAAAACATGTTTTAGAAGCCGAAAAAGAAGCGTTGCAATTTGATAAAAGGCCTGAAAAAGCAAGTGAAGCGATTTCAGAAAATTGATGAAGAAAAAGAACAAAAGTAAAAATAATACAGTAATCTATCCATATGTTTTTGTCTGTATGTCGCGGTAATAAATTTTTTAGCAGTTTTGCATTTTAAAGTCTTTTTAGTATTTTACCGTTTTCGATCTTTAAAATTAAATTATTTGATTTTTGCGCCAATTTTGAAAATTTGGCATTCTGTTTAAGGCACTTTTTTTACTTTCTCGACAAGATACGCTTACAAATTTAAAGATTTAGGTCTATTTAATGGTCTTTTACTGGTATATCAAAGAAAAATGATTAAAAGTAAAAAAATGGCAAAGTTATAAGCTTGAAACACATTGCCAAATTGGCGGCAAATACAAACAGTTCTTCTTTTCTTTTTTTTTGTTTCGATTTTCTGAAGACTGACTGAAAGGGCGATTTAGTACTTTGCTGAAGGACTTATATTTACATGATCTTTCTATATAAAAAGTTTGAAGTCAATCGGAGCAGGGCAGGAAGGGCATTTCACTTGTAACTTTTTTTCACTCAAAGAATAAATAAAAATACTATAAAATTTAACTAACATAACATGTGTATTTCACGAAGTGACAGCCGTATTGACAAAAGATGCATTGAGATGATATGACAGTAAGCATTTCCTGTTATTTGTGGTGATTATCTTTGTTTCCATCGAACTTTGAGCGAAATAAAACAATCAAAACCTTAATTAAGCATTCCACGAAACGCAATTAATACTTTTTAGGCCGCTTTCAACTTTAACCTTAATTTAGGCGTGAAGCTATGTTTCGCTTTTTATCGTTTTATTTTTTTCTAATTTAGGTTTTATTTGAAAAAATTTAATTTATGGGTGCTTGCGGGGGCTGGGCGGCGTGTTTGGTTTCTATTTCACGAGGAGGGGGTTGTTAGAAATTGAAATTTAAAAGTTTTTTTGGCTGTGAGAAGGGTTTGATTACACACAGTCATGAGTAAAGGGTCAAGGTTTGCCTCGTATATAAACTTAAAAATAATAACTGGGGCAAAGTCAAAACTTTCGTTGCGGGACTTAAGAACTGGGCTTCTGACGCTTTGATTTAAGCTCAGTTTCCTTTCAGGTCTAAACCAGTCTTAAATATTATATTAAAGCGATCTACAGGTGAAACTCTCGTTATAATCAACACGAAGCTGAACCTGTTAAAATCTTTCGTTGCGAGACTTAAACTGTGCTTTTGCGGTTCTGTTTTGGGCTTTTGTCTTCGGGATCACAGTTGCTGGCTCGGTCTCTTTATTTTTTTTGGTTTGGCCTAGCTTGGCTTAGTGTCGCGCCGGGCTTAGTATATCATAAGTAAGGGTCAGGCTTAGGTTTAAGGCTAGGTTTTTTAGAAAATCTGGCCGGGGCCAAACGTTTTTCGTTACTTTATCTTCTTTTTTTTCCTTTAACTCTTCTACAATATAAACTATGGCAAGTGTAGTACACAGATTAGGGAAGCAAGGTCTTTTTTTCTAAAAATGTTTTTTCTACCGTACCCTTTTTCTAATCACCATAGAACACGTTTTTATGATTTATGCTTACGAAGCAGACTTGCTGAATTTTGAAATCAAGTAGTATAGAGGTGTGATACCAAGGTTACAGTACTATAACCGTGCAAGATTGATTATCACTTCCATGTGATTTTGTTTTTGTTTTCATTGTTATTAAGCAGCTGTTTGATCGATCATGTTTGTATTGTACTAAGCTATCTTGTCAAAATATTCTGTTAACGTCTAAATTGTACTAATCAGTAAGTTAAAACTATTTTTTTATATTTGTAAAGTAGATAAGTATTACTTGGCACTAAAATTTAAATTTAGATGCGTGGGCCCGGGGCTGGTGTTTAAGCTAAGGTCCAGTCCGGCAGTTAATCTGTATTTTCAAAGGATAGTAGTTTATGACAATGAGTTTTTCAAATGTAAAATACGATTTTTATAACTGCGGACTTACATAAAATACGTCTTCACAATTCATGATTATTCATAACTTCCCAATACGTGCTTTTAGTATCTATTGGAACGTGTTTTTTGTTTAATCACCCAATTTGATGTATCGTTTGGAACGTCTACTTTTAAAGTCTAATGTAAACTCAAAGTTTTAGTTTTTTTCTGTTTTCAAAATCATTTTATATAAGAAGTAACAAAATATAAAGTATACCTAAAAGGGGACCGGGCTGGAGAAAATTTGAAAGAGGCCGGGTTGCCACACATGGGCCCTATGGTCGGGGCTTAGGGACCCATCCTAAATCTCGCAACGAAAATTTGACATATGAAAAAAAAATAAAAATTTTTAGTTATTGGTTATTTAGGGCGTACATGCAGTACAAAAAATTGTTCTAGTTATTATTTTAATGAATTTATATAAGAGGCCGGGCCGAAACAATCGAAGCAAAAATTATAATGGGCCCAGCCGGCACACGTGGGCCTAAGGGCCAAGCCAAAAAATAGTTCCCGGCCCCTTTACAGGTTTAGACTGGACTATTCATTGAGTATAATAAGCTTTTTCTGCATTGCGAACGTCAGTTTTTGAAAATGGGGCTGGAAAACCACCCCTCTACTTCTAACAACCCCCTTTTCTTACTCCTATTTCCCTTTCTTCTTATGCCTTTTATTACCCCACGTACTCCTCCTCCCCCTGCTATCTTCCCTTTAAAAAACCTTTTATTTAACCAATCTTCTTTCCTTATTAATAGACTTGTAAAGAGGCACGGACTTGGTTTGGGCTCCAGTCTTTAAGCCGGCTTTCACGGTTGATTCGGTCTAGACGGGCTATTAGACCTTTTTTAGGCTTGCTACTCTCACCGCCTCTTTCCTTTTTCAAAAAGTACCCCTTTTATAACACCCCAATAGTATCATCCGTACGCTAGAGCCGTAGTAACAATAACATCTCACGGTAACAGTAAATTGTTTTATTGTGATATCCGCTGAATGCACTCTTCCTTCTTCACATTCTACCCAGCCTTCTCTCATTACACTGGAAGAGACGTTTTTGACATTAAAACCTACAAAAATGATCGCCGAACCCATTTTCAGCGTCAGATTAATGATCGCCGTTGCTAATTCGGGCTTGTTCGAACGGCTTCCGAAGGGTTTGTTGGCGAGGGTTTCCACTGTTTGTTTTGTGTCATCAAAGGGGTGGTTTTCGGGTAATATGTGAAGATTAAAGATTCTTGATTTCCGTAGGGTATGGCTTTAAAAATTTATAAGTTTGAAGGTTTTTAGGTAACAAAACGTTATTTTTTCGAAATTTCTTTGATTTTTGAGACTATATAAGGTCTTCGAAAGAGTACTAAATTGCACTCTTTCGTCATTCTCGAGAAGATCAACATTAAAAAACTTTTTTTGAATTTCTCGCTAAATTGGCATTGTGTTTCAAGCTTATAACTTTGTTATTTTTTTTTTTGACTTTTAATAATTTTTCTTCGATATACTAATAGAAGTCCGGTAAATGGACCTACGTTTTTTAATTTGTAAGCGTGGCTTGTCTGGAAAGTCGAAAAAAGTGCTTCAAATACAATGCCAAATTTGCCAACTTGACGAGAACTCAAATATTTCAAATTTAAAACTCAAAAGCGCAAGCTGAAACCAATTTTTATAAGTACTATTAGTGGTACAAAGAATTTATACAAAAATTGTGATCTGACTCTGAGTGTAGCGGGTTGGGTACTTTCCTTGTTAACTTTGTTTTTGAAATTTGAAATTATGGAATTCTGGGACCATTTTGAATTTTAATTTTTTTAAATGTTTTAAAAAAAGTTTTTCTGAGCTGTTCTGTTTTACAATTTTAAATGTGGGACAAATTTGAAATTTTGATTTTTTAGAAAAAAAATTTAACTAAATTAGTTCACCATTTTTTAAATTTAAAATATTTTTTAATTAAAAAAAACTAAAACTTGAAAAAAATTATCTTTTTCTACCTCTAGTCCAAACCTAAATTCATTCAAGAATCATTTTCAAACCGTCTTTCCCACTTTGTTTCCTGTTTTAGTCACTTCTCCCCCTCCTTTCCAAATCGTATTGTTTTCGAAAGACAACTTCTTTCCTTGCCTTTGGCTACAATATATATAAAACAGTCTTTTTATGTTCGTATGTTTGACATCGGCAATTCATCTTCGTAAGCCCTCCAAAACAATAAAGGCGTTCAACAAAGATGGCCACGATAATTTACTGTGTAATGGGCCGTAAACATACCAAATCATTGTTAGTTTTAAATGGGGGGAGGGGGGAGTTGGGCATCTTTTAAGGATTTGGAATGGGAATGCGGGATGGGGCAAGGCAAGGTAGGGTATGGTCGCGTAGGGTAGGGTAGATAAGGATAGATTACATAATCTCTCGGCAAGGCATGGTAGAGTAGGGTGGGACACAGGAGAACAGAGCAGGTCAGAGTAGGGCGCGCAAGGCAGAGCAAGGCAGGGCCATAGTAGAGTAGGGTAGAGCAAGACAAGGCAAGGTAGGATAGTGCAGGGCAAGGCAAGACAAGAACAGGGCAAGGACAACACAATGCAAGGCAGAGCAGGACAGGGTAAAGTAGGGTATGGTAGTGATGAGTATTATAAGCTATGTTATAGTACTGTATGATAGCATATCATCACCCAGATTTAACATTTTTCACTTTTTCTGAAACTTGACATAGTTAAAATACAGTAAGAAAAAAAGGATATCCTTACTTTACTGTACTTTGACGTGACCTTTGGTTTAAAAGACCGTTCCAATTAAAGTTTTTGTGAATTGAAACGATTCCAAGAAGTTCGAAAGGAGCCGGCCCTTATCTTTGGGCCAATCTTTTTGCCTTTTCCTGAGTTGCGCGATATTATTTATGGGTTTCGAACCGAAACGAACACTACTATAATATAAATTGGCTTGTTTTTTTTTATTAATGTAGCTCTTGATATTTTATCGTAATATTTAATTTTTATGTTATATGACTGATGTTTTAGATCTTTTTTCTACATAAGTGCGCTTTTTATGTTTATATATGTGACATAAGTTTGGCTTCTCGTTGTTGTGATGCTTACATTTAATTCGAAACAGAGAAAAACTCGTAATTTACAAAAAGTCATTTTAAAAAGTATGACAATAGATTCCCTCATGTTTAAGATGCCTGGACGCTAATCGTCAAAGGTCAAAGCAACGATCATTTCGAATAAGAATAAAAACGTTTAAAAAGGTCATTTGAGGTCAACCCGTCATAATTTTTGTCTAGTTCTTGCTCTCAATGTGGGTTTATATTATTGTAGACAGGGCTGGTTGGTATGGAAAATAATGTTGGAGGCAAGGAAGGACTGTTTAAGAAGGAAAGTAATAAGTTGGGGTAATGTTGGCTTGGGGGAGTGAAAAAAATAACAACTAGGTAATATTCGATTTAAAAATTTTTTCAGAATTTAACTGATAAGGAAGGTGCTAGACCTGCTTTACTCAGAATTAGCTCAACTTTATACCACCAATAGTGCAAATAAAAAATTGTAGCTCTTTCTTTCGAGTTTCAAATTTTAAATTTTTGAGTTTTCCGCCAATTTGGCTATTTTGGCATTGTGTTTCAAGTAGTTTTTTTCAACTTTCCAAGGTACGCTTACAAATTTGAAACTGTAGGTTCGTTTAAAATTTTTGTACTAGCATATCAAAGAAAAATTATTAAAAGCCAAAAAAAATGGAAAACTTATAAGCGTGAAACACAATGCCAATTTGGCGGGAAATTCAAAACCTAATTTTTTGATTTTGATTTTCTCCAGATTTACTGGAAATCGCGATTTAGTATTGTTCTAAAGGTCTTATATTTAAATGATCTTTCTATGTAAAAATTTTGAAGTCAATCAGAAAGGGTCTATCTGGGCACTTTCCTTGTGAGCGGACTGTTTCACAAAAGTTATAAAAATTGATATATTCTCTTATCATCCACTTTATATTTTATTATCTTATAAGTCTTTGATCGACGATCAAAGATTGTTTGTATTTTAAACATTTTGCGGCCCAAAAAGTGGCACTTCTTCGAATGAGCGACAAGGAAAGTGGCATAATGGACAGGCACAAAGTGTCAATTATGAAAAACGATTATGAAGGATTTTAAAATTAGATTAAACCAAACTTTGGGCTTTGAGAGGTGTCAATTAAAAAGAGCGACAGTTTTAGAAAAAGTCGTTTTAAAACAGCCAAGCCTAGAAAGAGTAAGCTTTCAAAATGGCAGACTTTTTATAAATAAATTTAAGTTTGCACGGTGCAATTATAAAAACTGATAAAAAATGGTCTACTGTAACATATTTTCATAATTTTTTATTTTTTAAACTTTACGTTATAGATTGTCATAACTTTTTAAAGTCAAGTTTCAAGATTTCATACTTTTTTCATTCCGTGTAAACTTCTCCCCTGCCATTTTGAAAGTGACCCTGTTTCAGCGATGAACTTGCGGTTTTTTCTCCTAATAACCGCGTTTATCGCGACAACTACGTCATCGATATTATCCTTGAATCATCGTGAGAACTTTCTGTGTCCAAAGAATTGTGAATGCCATGAGGATACGAAGAAGATCGACTGTCAGCGACAGGGCATCGGCTACTTTCCGACTGGTAAGTTGGGGATGATATCAATATATTGATGTTTTTATAGAAATTAGGTATCATATGTATCTTATAGCTAAATTTTTTGGTTGTTCAAATAATTCTGGACCCCGGATTCTAAAAAACTGCTATATGAAGGGGCACAGAATTATTTGAATAACATTATAGATATCATATGGTTCTTATAGCGAAATTCAATTTTTGTAGCCTTAATATTAACTATAGAATACTAAATATAACTATTTTAGACTTACCTCGAGATGTAAAAGTTCTCGATCTTCGCTACAACTCAATCCGTCGCCTCAGCCGTTCAGATCTTCGTGGACTAGACCACCTAGAGACTTTACTTTTAGGTAACAATCAAATTACTCACCTGGACGAAGTAAGTTACTCTATAATAACAACAAGACAGTAATTTTAATTGGAAATTTTATTGTTGCGATTTTTGAATAATTAACATTTTTGACGAAATGTCACAAAAATTATTGATTTTTGTAAAATCTGCTATTTAAGCAAAATTACTTTTTTAAACATTCATAAGTGAGGAATTTTAAGTAAAAATTCATTTTCAGGATATTTTGGACTTTGTCCCATCCCTGCGACGCCTCTACATCGGCCGCAATCAACTTCGTAACCTGCCTCGTCTAACCTCACATCAGTTCGGAGCTCTGTTAGTGATCGATGTTCACGGCAACAAACTCCATCACATAAGCAAAGAAGCCTTTCGTGGCTTAATTGGCCTGGAACGAGTACATATTGGCCACAATTACATTCAATATGTTGATTTTGACCGAATTTTTAAAAGTTGCGAGAACTTAAAAATCTTGCATTTGTCGCAAAACCCGTGGAATTGCGATTGTCGCGCCAGAACTAATGCTCAGTACTTGAAGCACCAGAGTGATGACATTGAAGGAGATTCACCTGCCAAGTGTTACAACCCGCCCGAGATGAGGGGTGCGACATTGAGAGAGTTAAGCGACCAACAACTGAAGTGCTTTGAAGTTGCCGCAACCAAAGTTGGCGACGGATTTATTGTGGATTGTGATGCGACAGAGAAGAGCACCAAAACTCATTATTTGTATAAGTAAGTTGTTATTTGTCAAGATTGAAGTTAAAATTTGCTTTTTGACGAAGTGTCACAAAAATTATTGATTTTTTAGAATTTTCAACTTTTCTTTGTTTTTATGCAAATGTTCAAAACTTTAAAATAACAGCAGTTTTTAAATATAAATAGCTGTAAGTTTACATATTTTCAGTGGTCATCACCTTGACATCAAAGCCGTAGGCGCCTTCGAGCTTCTCCCCAACGGCTCTTTGGCCATTTATCAGCCAGATTTCCACTTCTATCGCCTCGAATGTGCTCTAGACTATCCAGTTGGAGTGTCACGTCAACCGCGCCATCTGACCGACCATGCTCGCCAAAAGTACGGTAAACCCCGATTCACGTATCAGTCGTTCCAAAAGCGAAGCTTCCGTGAAGGCTCTACGGCGTCGCTTTCTTGTGAAGTGAATCCAGAAACCCCGGCTCAAGTCTACTGGACTTTCAATGGTAAGCGTCTCACTCCGTCGCGGAAACATCAGATCAACAACAACGGACAGTCTCTAGATGTGTATCCTTTCTTGGAGCATGATGTGGGGGAGTGAGTTTGTGTTTTGTACTGAATAGTACGTACTATTAGGTTGTTTAAATAGTCCTGTGCCCCCTAAACTCAAAAAAAATCTTTTAATAAGAGGTGTAGAATTATTTGAACAACCTAATATATAGTATCTTATACTGTACTATTACCTACGGTATCATATTCTTAAGTACCTTATACTACTGTGTTATCACATTCCGTACCATATACTGAACAACCTAATTTTCAGATACGAATGCACGGCCTACAACAACTACGGTTCCGTAAGTCATCGTGGCCGAGTTGGGATCATCAGTAGCAGTCCGCCTGTCATCCATACTGGCCCAGCCAACCAAAAAGCTCGTCCAGGACAGACCGTTAGACTGAACTGTGAAGCGACTGGAAATCCAAAGCCTAAAATAACATGGTCTTTCGAAGGAAGCGACATTCCATTGTTCAAGGGCCATTATCAGGTATGTTTTTAGATTATTTTTAATTTTGACGAAATGTCACAAAAATTATTGATTTTTTAAATAACGAAAAAGAGTTATTTCGATGATAAGGATAGATGTAAAATGTCCAGGATAAGCTGAAATTTGATGCTTAATATTTTTGACGAAATGTCACAAAAATAATTGATTTTTAATTCTAACCTTCAGGACCAAAAAGTACAACAATATCTATATTTTAGACCAATCCTGAAGGCACCCAGCTGACAATAACCGCAGTAGGTCGCGCTGACCATGGTACTTACACCTGTATGGCTGGCAATGCCGTTGGATCAATGACAGCATCAGCCAAATTGACCATAGAATGGTCCCAACTAGACTATGTGGATAAGACAATCGACCAAACATTGTTGGAGACCGTTGTCGCAACTGCCAAAAGCAATATTCAAGAGTGAGTCATTATGTCATATGGTACATTTTAACAAAAAATACCATATAAATGACCAGTTTTCATCACAAAATGTCATCTTACAGTAGCTCCATTACTTAAAAATTCCTTTCAGAGCAGAAGAAAAGACCAAAAGCGACCTCCGATCAACCATCAATGACCCAAAACAATTGATGCGACACTTCACTTTTGCCATAAAACGACCGGTCGAACTAACCCGAGCTCGCGAGGTCTACGAGCAATCGCTGCGACTAATCGAGAAGCACATCGAGCAAGGTCTACACTTCAAACCAACAGACATCCCCACCAACGTGTCATACGAGTCCGTCCTCAGCGTGACGCACATCCAGACCTTGATGGAGCTCTCTGGCTGTATGAATGGCCAGTTCCAAGACGCTTGTGAGGACATGTGCTTCCACTCAAAGTACAGAAGTTACACTGGCCAGTGCAACAACTTTGAACATCCCACCTGGGGCGTGAGTCAGATGCCGTTCAGAAGACTGCTACAGCCAATGTACGAGAATGGCTTCAACACTCCAATAGGCTGGGATCCACACAAACTCTACTTCGGATACAAGAAGCCGAATGCCAGAAGTGTGTCACAACATCTGGTCAAGGCGGAACAAGTCGATTCACATTCGCTTTACACTGGCATGCTTATGCAGTGGGGACAGTTCTTGGGTAAGCAATGTTATGAGAATCACTAGAAAATTGTACTAGTATTTAATATAGTTAACAGATCAAAGTAAAATGAAGCAGGAAAGAGTTATAATATGTAAAAAACCAATACTTTACTTTAAAAACCTTTTCCAGACCACGATATCACATTCAAAGCCCCAGCCTTAGCCAGGCAGACCTATTCAGGCGGAGCGATATGCAATAGAACTTGTGAGAATATTGATCCTTGCTTTAATATCCCACTACCCGAAGATGATCCTAGAAGAAAGTAAGCCTTATAAACTCTGTATTACCAACAAAAAGATAAATAGCTTTGCTGACCATCATTATACAGGTCCTGAAGCTTGTTTACTTGAACATTTGGACAATTTTGAACTAGTATATCCTTTATAGGCTATGATACACTTTAAGTGATGCTACTGACGTTTAAAGACAAGCACTAGGCTTAGTCGATATAATATAAAACTAGAGTATAAAGACCCACTGATGATCATGATAATTTCGTTTCAGGACCGAAAAATTCCCATGCATAGAAGTGGAACGATCGGCGGCCATTTGTGGCTCTGGTGAAACCTCGCCCATCTTCAGACAAGTGACATTCCGAGAACAAACTAATACTGTAAGTTTATATTAACTGTAGGAAGATCCAAATCTTATTCAAAATCACTATACTAAACCCAAACCTATTTCAGATCACCAGCTACATCGATGCCTCAAACGTCTACGGCTCAACAGAAGTGGACGCTCTCGATCTGCGCGATCTCTTTGGCGATCACGGTCTTCTTCGCTTCGACATCGTCTCAAACAGTCAGAAACCATACATGCCATTCGAAAAGGACTCGGCAATGGAATGCCGTCGTAACACGTCCCGTGACAACCCCATCCGATGTTTCTTGGCCGGCGATGGCCGAGCCAATGAACAGATCGCCCTAACAAGCATGCACACGGTCTGGTTCAGAGAACATAATAGGATCGCCGGAGAGCTACTGGAGATGAATCCGGACTGGAATGGAGAGAGAATCTACCATGAAGCCAGGAAGATCATCGGCGCCATGATGCAGCATATTACTTATGAACATTGGCTGCCTAAAGTCCTCGGCATGGTATGTTGTTTATGGTCATTTTAGGTTGAGAAAGAGCTTGAATACAACAAGATAATATCAGAATATTAAGATTAAAAAATCCTAAGTTATACTATTATGTTTTCTTACAAAGAACGTAATTTCAGGACGGATACAAGCGTTACATTGGCCCATACATGGGCTACAAACCTGACGTTGACCCTCAAGTCACAAACGAATTTGCTACAGCTGCCTTCAGATTCGGACACACCATCATCAACCCCATTTTTTCTAGGTAATGCTAAAAAAGGTTTTACTAGCTTTTGAAATCAAAAGTCAACCTTGTTAAAGCGATATTATACACCTTTATAACATGCTAGCTACTATAACATAATTTCAAGATTGCTATCCGAAAACTAAACATACCTTTTCCAGACTTGACACTGAATTCAAGACGATAAAAGAAGGCGATCTACCACTTCCAGAAGCCTTCTTTGCTCCAGAAAGACTAATCTCTCAAGGTGGTATTGATCCTCTCCTTCGAGGATTGTTTGCCACGCCTATGAAACGTCCAAGTCCATCTAAACTTCTAACTGATGCTCTAACAGAACGTCTCTTCTACAGGTCGGAAAACGTCTCCATGGACTTGGCAGCCATCAACATTCAACGCGGACGCGATCACGGGCTTCGAGGGTAAGATCATAGATCTTTATGATAAAATCGTCGTTTTATACAGTTAAAACCGCCTTAATTTAAATCACATAACAGTTAAAAGAATCACAATGAACTAACTGAGCTTTTAGATACCTAGAATACCGTGAATTCTGCAACCTCACCGTGCCCAAGACCTGGGAAGACCTGATGGTAGACGTCAAGGATGAGATGGTCCTGGAGAAACTCAAAACTTTGTACGGACATCCAGGAAACATCGATCTGTGGGTTGGTGGAATCATTGAGAAGGTTGTCCCAGGTGCTCTAGTCGGTCCCACCTTTGCCTGCATCATTGGCGAGAGCTTCAAAGCCATGAGAGATGGCGATCGCTTCTGGTGAGCTAAAACAATATAAACTAAAGCGAATTTAGGTACGAAAACCCTGGAATCTTCACTCAACTCCAATTACAACAGCTCAGGAAGACTACTCTGGCCAAGGTTTTGTGCAACAACGGCGATAACATCACTCAAGTTCAGGTAAATGAAGCGATATGTTATAGTAGGTTCAAATCGTAAAATTTGAAAGAAAACAAAAAAAAGTGAATTGAGATAAATACTAGTAAAATGGACCATTTGTACCCATTTTGGTTATCATTTACTGAAAGTTTTACATATCTAAACGAAATGCCACACATTTTACTTATCATTAGCTATTACTGGTTTTCGTTTTAGGACTCATTTATTGATAATATGTTTATGTTTTTCTCGTAATAAACGAGAATTTTTACATAAATATTGTGTATTTATCACCTAAAATACTATTTTCAGAGAGATGTGTTCAAATACATGGGGATGGGCACCAAATTCTACGGAAAATGCGACGATATTCCTGATGTCGAACTGAAGATGTGGATGTCGTGTTGCGATGAAGCTTGCCAAGCCCGAGAAGATCCTATTTCAGAGTCGATGAGGAAGTCGAGGAAACGACGATCCCGACATCTATACGGATCTTCTGAAGAGCTTCAAACTGGAGCCGAATGCGAATTTGATGGAGTTCGAAAAAGAGATGGTTCTCAATGGAAACCTGATCAATGTACAGAATGTGAATGTAATCGGGGCAAAGTTTGGTGCCATACTGATGCTCAATGTTTGAAGAAACTGTAAATGTATGATTTAAGCGTAGTTTAGAATGTCTAGATGGTTTTATATTGTTTTATGTAGAGGATAGTTTACCGGATGTGTGAGGCTCAGAACTTTAAAACTTTTTGAGTTTTGTTTTGCGTTTTTGAAACTCAAATTTGGCACAAATGTTAATGATAATGTAGTTGTGCTCATACTTATTTTTTACGAAAATGTGAGCTTTACACATTGAGTTATATTAAATATTAATCTTGCAGGCAACGATTTGAAAGGTTTTAAGTGAATCGTCTTAAACCTTTTATAAATCGATTGAAATACTTATGTTAAAGTACTTTACTTTAACCTAGAGTTAAAGGGTTACTTTTACCGCCACTCACATAAGATTAGCGTCAAATTGTTGTACATTACAGTCATTTTCTTATATTGTACTTGATCGTTTCTTGCAAATTCACAATTGAGATTTGATCACAATATTGAATTATTTTTTTGTTCATAGTGTAAGATATTTTCAAGAATTATTTGATTTAGGTATGATGCTTGTTTTGGGTGTCAGAACATAGGGATTAGACTAACTCACTTTGACCTGCGTGATTGCTCAATCCATATTATTAGTCATTTTGGCAAGGTTAATACAACATCTATTCGATTTCTATTAAAGGAGCAGATTCCTCTATATTCTTATAAGACGCTGTAGTATTATATGCTCTCAACGTCCTGTGGCCTAATAATATTGCTTTTAGAAATGAGATGTTATGTCGATTGATATTTTACTTACTATTTCTTGTTACGTGTCTGGTGCTTTTATTGTCAAATACGGTAATTTTTGCCTGAAGAAGACGATGTTATAGCTATAGCTTCTGAAAAGAACCTTTATACGTTAGGTTATCTTTTACTGTAAATATGAGCTTATACCGCGTAGTACTGGTTATTCCCTTCACACAAACACCCAAAGAAAAAAACCAAACTCGCCTGCCCGGCCCTGCATACAGTAAAAAGTTTTAAAAAATTACCGTATTTGACAATAAAAGCACCAGACACGTAACAAGAAATAGTAAGTAAAATATCAATCGACATAACATCTCATTTCTAAAAGCAATATTATTAGGCCGTTCACTTAATTCTGCGCCCTCTCTACAAGCAAATTTTCAAAAATCACATAAAATAATTTTATACAACGTCTTACAAAGTAATAGTTGAACAAGAATGACAATCAAATGTTCGTCTAACATAGCATCACATAAATTATGCGTTCAATTTAGATAACATCATTAATGTCGGTTTTTATTCAAATACAAATTCTGGTGTTGATTTATTGATTTGACAAGATTTTCAAGTTATAAAACTAATTACGACGCGCTCTTTTAATTTATGTCCAGTTCTTGACCCACTCTTAGTTTTACTGTTTTTCAAATAACTCTGTGCCCTCTCTCAAAGCAAATTTTTCAAATAATTCTGTGCCCCCTCTCGAAACAAATATTTTAAATAATTCTGTGCCCCTCTCAAAGCAAATTTTTCAAATAATTCTGTGCCCTCTCTCAAAGCAAATTTTTCAAATAAATAACCTAGTGAAGTTAAATTCAAATAGCCAATGTTTGTATTTTTATGTCAAAAAATATTGATTTATTACAATAATTTCGTATGTACAAGATAAACAAATGTAAATTACTATGTTGAGGTCATGATTTAAGTATAATACTTGTTATAGGTGTGAGACTGTAAAAACGATGATTATATGAATCTCATGTTTAACTTAATGTATGATGTTCGTATTTTGATATGAATTATATATTATGGTCAAAAAGTCTTTAGAACGTCTGTATTTTTTAAGTTCTCTAAAATTTTTGAGGATATTTGACATTTCTATTGACTTTTTGACCGATAAAAGTTAATAACATTATTGCTAAAAGACCGAATTAGAAAGAGCAATTATTTTAACTTAAATTATCATCGATCAGATAGTAAAATGACCAACAATACCATCTAGACATTCTGAACCTTATTCTCAATGTCCTGAACTTCTTTTCGAAGAGATTCAGAAGCCAAAACAGCGTGATAATCTCTGTTGGTCACCTTGAATACCCACACGAATAGCTGCACAATAACAAGCACAACAATGTCTAGAAGTACCATAGAGATCAGTAACATTGAAGTCTCTGTTTCACGCAGAAATTCATATTGTCGTTCTTGTTTTGGCTGGAACATGGTGCAGATCTCTCCGATGACCAAGGAAAAGAGGATAAAGTAGCCAAAACAGAAGGTGAACAACTGAAAAATGGAAATATTAGTGTTTTAAATTGTAGATGAAGGTTTGTTTTATTAAAATTTATGTTTAAATCGGCATAAAACATAGTTTACAACATAAATTTAGCCATCGAAATCCATTTTTAAGGCCTAAAACCCAATGGTATCCCAATTTTAAGCATTCAGTATAACAAACTTACACTCAAAAGTTGAGCAGGAATATAAAGCGTCGAATTCCTCAACCGATTACCAACTGCCCCAGCAATATACGCACCAGTTGATAGTAAGGCAAACCCAATCAGAACAGGATTGAAGTAGTGGAAGGTGAATAACATAATACAGAACATGGTCATCGCTGTAGATACGAATAGAAATGCGATGAAGGCTTCTCTTTTGGTCGTCGCTGCCACAACTTTTGGATCTTTGTCTGAATCAGCATCGTTCGAGGAGATACAGTACATTTCAGAGGTTATTTGGGAGAAAGTTTCTGAAAAATTAAATTTGTTATTAAACTAGATTGAAATATATCGTAACACGTATTTTATTACAACTTATTTAAAAATATCAATAATATATGACAACATATATAATTTACAACAAAAATAGCAATATACAGCAATATATAGCAACATAAAAACAAATTTTTAAAATCAAAGTTAAAAACCTCCTATAAAGCCCCCTTGAACTTTTACCCCAACCTCTTTATGAACTTGGCGCGCATATAAAAGAAGCAAACGCCAAACCCAATCGTATCTGCTTCAAATGACCTTTATTTACTTTGAATCCTTGTCTGCCACGCCCATTTCTAGCTCATTTCAATGCCAAATTCAAATTTAAAAATAACGTTTTTTAGCAGACCGTTTATGAATTTATCTTTTTATCAGCGCGCTTATAGATTTTTTTAACCACCCCGTTCAGAAAGAGAAGAACCCCGACGAAATACTCATGCACACCAAGTAATGAGCTCATGTCGTCGACGAAAAGATAAAAGTCCAAGGAAATGCGGTTTGAAAAAGAAATGATTTTGCAACCTTTTGCAAAAAATGGTGCCAGTCTTGTTAAAAACAGCAAGGTTTTGAGTAAATTTGCTTGACATTGATAAACTTTTTTTTAAAAAAAACCTCCTTTTTTTTGATAAAAAAACCTCCTTTTTGAGAATCCTCTACCCCAGCATCAAGCAATGCGTGCCAGTGTAACAAACATCTGGTATGAAAATTATTTGACTTCCAAATATTAACTTAAAAACAATGAAAAGCTAAACGTTCCAAAGATTTTTACTATGTTAATAATCAAAAAGTAATCACACATCACAAGCTACATATCTAACAAGGGAAGTGTCTCACCTCATTCCGGAGATATGAATCGAGACTAGGCTCATTTGAAAGCCTATTTGAATACAAATTCAACAAAAAAAATTTAGCTGCCGAATAAGCCCCTGAGGCAAGTTATGACGGTTTAAAAATTTGCAGTGCTTTCCCTGGTTTGAGTTTGAAAACGATTGGGAGCGAGAAAGAAAACAAGGAGAATCGATGATTCGGTGGTTAAGTGTTGGGTTTAGGGGTGAAAGGATAAGGGTTCGATCCCTGCCAACTCGTTTTGCTTTAACAGCTTCCAAAAAAAATTTTTTTTGTTTTTTATACTGTACAACAGTCAACAGACTAGTTTTAATCATTTGAATACCAAAATTAAGCAGTTTGACAAATTATTAAACTTTAAAATTTTTTGAAAATTTTTCATGTTCTGGAAAAAAGTTGAGCAACCTTATCACCTGGAATAACGAAACCAACAGCAAAAGTAACTTTATTTTCCCTGCCTTCAGAAAATTTAACAGCTTCGGCGTCGTTGTAAGACAGCTGATAATCAGGGAAGTGATGAATGAGTCTTGAATATGTCAAACCAATCACCATTGGTGCGTCTACTCAATATATACATATTGTAAGGTATATCTAAAACTACATCTTGTTGCAACAAGTTTCATAAAGTGGTCAACAAAAAAAACTACGCATGTTATGATATTAATTTACGATTATTATCAGCATCAATGATTACTTTACAATAAAAAAAATAACCCAAAACACTCAAAAAGCAAAGATATCATCCTTACTTTTACTAACAGTAAACACTACAGTATTTCCGTCCTTTTACCCACAGTGAAATCGCAAGAAAATTCATATCAGCTACACAAAGCTCTATACTATTAGGTTGTCCATATAACTATGTGCCCCCTAATCCCGAAAATTTTCTTTGAGAAGAAGCACAGAATTACTTGAACAACCTACTATCACAAAAGCTCTTCAAAGTACATTCTGATAAAATAAAATATTAATCTGTTTAAAACCTAAAACTTTTAATGGCTGGTGATATGATAAAGACCAGCTGACTTCTGTTGCACATACTTAATACTTTACTTTTAATCTCCAAAGTAAACAAACAAAGGGAATTTCGACAAAAAACAAGTTTGAAGCAAACAAATGAGTTATCAAAACACTCCAAATTGACAAAAATTCACTCAGTAAACCGGCTCTGCAATTTGAGAATACCACAGCAGTAGAGCAGGTTACTGTAGAAAAATACAGTATCTTCTAAAATTTTCAGGCACTTTATCATTGTTATGATGAGTTATTTTTGAAAAGTTTAAAAAGCCAGCGTTACTGCACCTCAGCTTCACAGTAATCAAGCAAGAACGCTAGTTATTATAGCTCAAGTTACTCACATTACAATCACTGTAAATAACCATAAGATGCCATATTTATACACCTTTTCGCAATAACAACTCACCGTAAAGATAAAAGTATAAAAGTACTCCTCCTCTCTCTAACTGAGATTGTAAATACCCAAAAGACTTCTGCGAATCCTACTTAAATATAGTACGAGTACTCTCGTGTACGTTGTTTTCAAAACAAACAAAATTGAATAACCGCCAAAAGATAGACAACAAAGTAGGGCATAACCTAATTTCGAGTTTTTTTGGAAAAAATACCGTACTTAATAAAATACAGTATGCTGTTAATTTTTTCAAGTTTTTTAAAATACAGTAACTAATGTCATTTCTTAGATGATATTTGTGTATGCCGAGTATATAGTAAGACTTTCGAGATTTAAAAAAAATTCACGTGAAAATGCTATATTATTAGATTGTTCACATAATTCTGCGCCCCCCCCCCTCAAAACAAATTCCCGGGGCTAGGAGCACAGAACTATTTGAACAACCTAATAATTCAAAAGCTTAAAATATACAGTATAATGCAAATAAATATATATTTGTTTACAACTTCTTGTTGCTAACATAAATCAATATTATTTTTGAAAATATTTGATCGCCATGTTTTACGTATACTTGTTTACAACTTACTTGCAATACCTATATGTGGTCAAGCTGTAAAATACATTTATGATCTTGATTTTACAATACACATACGCCTGTTTACAAGTTGCTATCTTCTTTTCATAAACAACCACTATTAATATAAATTAAAACTTTGAAAAACGGTCACTGTTAAGCTTTTAAAAAACAGTTTTATTACCTTGATTTACGAGTTTACATTTGTCATCTGAAATCACAAATCAGTCAACGAAACAATAACTATGTCAATTACTAAAGAACACACAGTTTGAAGTTACAAAACTCTACATCAAAATACTATTTGTTTCAAAATGAAATAACAGTTCCAAGCAAACCTGTAAAGTAGACATGCTAGGCCCAAGTTTTTGGCCTAGCCCCTTTCGAAGTTGTTGAGGAACCTAAGTTAGACCCCTGAGAACTTGGTTCCCTGGCTCTCGGGCCCGTAACTGATCGCTTTCAGTTTTTCTTTGGCCTAGAAAGACCTAGAGGTAAGAAATAAATCGTGTAGGCCCGGCCTGTTTCTCACCTCTATCCAGGCCTAATGGGCCCCCTTTCAAGTTTATCTCCAGCTCAGTCCCCGCCTCAAAACAAAATGTGAACCATAAACGGTTATGCCACCTTAATAATACCACGTTTTATGGTTCATTTAGGATATATTAACATTTCTGCCAACTAAAAAATTTTATTTATGAAAAATTGTAAGAAAACTCTTATAACAACTGGAAACCGGATGTTTCCCCACAATTATCTTGTTTATTTAATTTCGCCAACTTATGACAGTACTGATAAGCTAAAATTCTTTCAAAAGTTCCCGGATCTAGAATAGTTGTAAGGGCCGTAAAACGTCAACCAACAAGAGTGACATTTTTAAAAAATATTCTTAAAAAATAAGAAAATACATATTTTGAAATTCAAGTTTATAGTATTCGAATATAACATGCCATTTTAGATGAAACGTGTTCTAGGTAGACATGAAATGTATACCTATCCATACATAAGCTCATATGGTTGTAGTAATACCATACGTACTAATAAATAACATACTACAACCATCATATCCAAGAAAATGTAAAATATTGTTGTTATTCTGGCACTGAAGCCAATCTCGCAATATTTTGACGTACTGACAACAGATTACACTTATAAAAGTACTATTTCCATCATTTGAAAACTAAAAACACGTAAATAACAAATTACAGTACGTTATGACGTTGACTACGTATGAAAGTACAACAACGATCATATATAAGCTATTGTGGCCAAACAAAGTAACAATTTGGACACAAAAGCTGTGTATACGTTAAGACACACAAAACAATAGTAAGAAAACACAAAACTATTATTATACGTAACTTGCAACGACACAAGGAAGTATATCCACGCATAATATTACACTTTATGGCAAAAATATCTTATTAAGGACATATATAACTCTATGTCAACTCTAGCAAAATGAGTAGCAAGAAAAGAAAAACAAGGAAGTTCCATTCCTTATTATTAGGTTATTCAAATAATTATGTGCCTCCTTTCCAAAATTTCTGGATTAAGAGCACAGAAGTATTTGAACAACATAATATGTCTATATACAACCCTTAAAACCAAAATCAAGCCAATAAACTACATAGTAACATAGTATCAACCTTGGTAAACAAATACCAAAGATTACCGAGTCCATATGTATTACACCAAAAAGACTTCAAACCCAGAAAAACAACTCCAGAAGAGCATCGTGTCTATATTTAAATGTCGTCCACACGTGATATTACCAAAGAGTTCACAATGAACATTACAAATCACTTTCCAAAGGTCAATTAATCATCCCATCACAATATGTTGTGAAACATTCCCGACGTTGTAATTTTCCATAAAAAATTACTTTTCGGTAATTGAGTGTTTTACTGTTTTGCAGGAAATTTGAAAATGATCAAATCATAAAGAATAGGAGAGCAAACAGTACGATTGTATAATTAACGCACTTAAAATAACGTTATACCTTTTTTGGAAATAACCGGTAGGCATGAAAACTAACACAAATTTAAAAGAGTATCGTATCATCAACATAGTAATTACCAAATACATAGACAAAGTTTTGCGAGATTTAATTTATAAGAGGACCTTAAATTGTACTACATGGTACAATGGATAATGTATCATCGCGAAATATCTTACATTAGCCATATACTGTTTTAGATTCCACGACAAACACCGAGCGAAATTCGGAAAGGTATTCATAGAAGTTGTTGACTTCAATACATAAGTTCAGCATACACAGATTCCAAAGAGTAATATAAAGTAACCATCTGTTAAACTCAACCAGTAATTCATGTCAAATCATCAACCCTAATAAACAAACAATTTACAAAAACAACAAACAAACAAAACAATATTATATTAGATATATATGATCATTTGTATTGGTGAAAGATATAATATTAATATAAGTTATACACTTTCCGACCAAACAAGCACTATTATCGCAGCTTGCGTCCAAAGATCAATATGGCAACAATATATTGGAAGAATGACAACAATGTAAAAATGACAAAACAATGGAAAGCGACATAAAAAGTCAAGAATAATCCAGCAAAAGCAAAAAAATTGATCATAACTTCCACATCAACCCAAAATCCAACTACCACAATATCAACCCTCAATAACGATGTAAATTCTCAATGCAAAATCATATCGAAACAAATAACAAGGTAATAATCAACGATCTCACATGTCATAAGAAAAACAATACTATAACATAGACTTGTGTCAATCCTAAATTTAAAAAAAAATAGAAAAAAACCTAAAATCTCGCTTATAAAGCAAAAAGTAACAAAAAAGACAAAACATAACAATAAAACATGGCAAAACACGTTGCATCTTCAAAAAATCAAGACAACAGACAAAGCATCAACAGCAATATCCCAAGACAATCAGACACCAATTTACGATCGATTACAATAAGATTATGCATATTTCCGACAGTTTGTGTCACTAAGCCCAGAACCTATTCTCAACATTCGGTCTGACGGCTTCATTGATCGCCTTTGGAGTGTTCTCATGAGTGTAGCGGACGTGCTTCTGAGCACGTTGAGCGAGGTCCTGCGCGGCATACAGACAAGATGGAAGGGATACTGGAGAGCATACCACGCCATGTACATACGCCATACTGTTTGTGATGGTGATCAGCTCTTCGGTGCTGATACGAGGCGCACATGTGTCATTTAGAACGACATATCGGACAGGACGTCCAGTTCCCTGAAAAAACAAAAATAATTTGAGAAAATAGACCACGATAATTATAAATAGTTATCGCGATAACATAAGCCTAGAATTAAGTCATGGGGTTTTATCATCACAATATGTTAAGCCTATCAAACGCTAGGAGACCTGACCATACCATAGTACCATCCAAGTTACTCCATATGAAAAAGCACAAATCGTACCAGCAAAATACAAGATATCCGACCGACCCCTACATCTCATAAATGAAAAATGACCAAAATTGGCTTTACCGCCAAATTTAAAGTGACGTCACATAACGATTTCGCAATAAATAGCTTACAGTAATTTTAAAATGCCCGTAAAATGCACCCTATGCAAAACATTCACACCTCATTAATTTCAAAACCCCCTACGTATGTGACAATACCCTTACTATCATACCCACATCCCAAACTAACCTGAATCGAGCGGTGAGATTGGAGAATGAACTCGGTGAATCTGGGGTGGGTCATGGCGTTGTAGTACGCGGTTCCGGCTCTCACATTCTGTTGTGGAGGTCTGTCGTTGGGGTTGGTTTCGCGAGCAATTCTAAAGATTCTGTTGTTGCTGCGAGTCACGGCGACCAAAAAGGTTCTCGAGGTGTCCTGAGCTCCAACTTCGGCACAGGCCTTGTCCAGGAGGGTGACTTCACGCTTGAAGATTTCTGGGAATTCTCCTTCGCTCTAAAATGGCAAAAAGGGTCAGAATATATTTCAAAACAAAAAAAAACAGTGAGAACGTAAATTTTTATTTTAAAGTTTTACGCAAGCAACTCATATAGATGATGCTATCAGTCCCAAATAGACTGAACATAGCCATATGACGCTTTACAGAGCAAAAGCGTAGTCTTCTTCCCATTTTACAAGACTCCACTGTATAACAGATTTCAAACTCACAGTTCCATTACGGTAAGCAATGACGTGTTTCGGGAAAGCGCCATGACTTTGTCTCCATGCGTTCAATCCTTGCTTGATGATGCGGTACATCTGAACCTCGTACTCGTCCAGTTCTTCTCCGTCAGCTCCTCCCAATGGTACCATGTTAGCATTGCCCTTGGTCTTCTTCTGGTAGTAGAACCAATCACCGTTCAGACGCAGGTCACGGTCGACCGTGTAGGCCAGGGACGCAGTCTCAATTTCTTGAGGGTTCTCAACGGTTCTCTCCACGTTCTGAGGGCCAGCTGACGAAAAGCCGATGCCAATGAACATGCACTGCTTCATGTCGATTATGTTGCTATAATCAATTTTTAAATTTAATATACTGTAATTACAGTAAAAAACAACCAAAAACATAATTCTCTTGTCAACTCAATTAACCAGCAACAATAACAACAAAATTTAAAAACTGGGTAGCCAGCACTAACACAATAACAATATAAACTCCGTACATGCTTCCCGTCATTGGGTTAACCTTGACAGTCCAGTTCTGTCCTCCCAACTTCAAGTTGGTCTTGAGGATGATGTTGTTCAACGTGTCTGCTTTCGGGTTTTGAGCGTTCTTGGACAGAATCTGTTGGGTCAGGATTCCGTATTTGCTTTCGCCAAACTTGATAAACTCGTGAGACGAGTCGGTCTTGTTGCGGGTGATGAAGATGGCAAATCCAATGTTGTTGCGACGCATATCATCAAAAGCTCGGTCAAAGTCATCTTGACGATTGCCTCTCATGTTGGGAGCGCTTCTTTGGTCTGGTCTTGGTAGACGGAGACCGAGTTCATCACAACGACGCATGTAGGTGTCCAGGAAACGACTGAAAATAAAAATAGATCAAGTTACAGTGCTCCGTAAAAAAACCAATTATATACTATAATAATATCAGAAAAAGACTGTAATATACTATACCAATGTCAGCAAAGACACTACCATATACTATAACGATATCATACACCATAAACTCATCAACTCACTCAACATCGCGACCCAATGCGTTTCCAACATCCACCAAGCACCAGTTGAATTCTACTTTGGGTGTGATCTTGAGCACATTTCTGTCCAAACGGAAGTTCATTTGATTTCTGTCAATGTTGGCGTGCTGATCTCTGCCAAGAATACAGTCTGGAGCTGGGACAAGGACTGCATCGTTCACTTCAATGAGGTCTGAGCCGACTTTCACCTATAACAACATAATAATATACATCTTAGTGTAGATGTATATTAATGATATCCATCTTAGAATAGACGTATATCAATAAAACACAAAATGATTATGTTATACTGACACATAAAACTTACACCAAAATGCTTGAGCCACGGATTGTTGTCGTGGATGTGAACTTCTCTCTTGGCTTCTTCAAACAGCCTGGTCATGACAGACGGAGTTTGTTGACATTCTCTGGTCATGATTTCGGTCTAAATAATCACTTGTAAACGATGTAAAACAACTACAATGATAACCATGAAAAAGAAAAATTTCCCAAGTCAACAGCTAACATATATAAGCATAAATACTATAAAATATACATATATATTAATATCCCCAATCTCAATGCTCACACTTACCAGATTAGGCTCCATCTGCGACTTCTGGACCGAAACTCTTTGATTTGGAACAATCTCCAACACTTCCATTGGGTAGTAGTTGGTCTCTTTTCGACTCTTGATGTGCTCGGCGACAGCTGGAAGGCGCTTGTTGACCCGTTGCTTGTACTTTTGTTCAAAACGGTCGGTCACATAGACATCTCCATTCTTGGTCGTAAACTTCAAGTTGCCAATTTCTCCACAAAGCTCGTATATGGGGAAGATGCGGTTCTTGTCGCCCAAGTGAGTCGTTCTGACGACGACATCTGAAAATACGTCATTTTGTTGACTTTTTAATCACTTTTTTTTCTAGTCTAATAAGCTATTTTAAACGTGATTAAAACATAGATAATATTGAACATTAAAATCCAAAAAATTTTTTCTATAAAATTTCAAAAACGAACTTTTCATATGAGCCGACGCCTGCTCGACCTTCCTGCTGTCCCTGAACAACTCTTCCAGATTGTCAATGTCGCGGTTGCTGTCGCGGCTGTCTCTGCGATCGCGATCGTCATAACCACCACGGTTGCCGGAAAAGTCGCGGCCCCGAGAGTCGTCACGGTATCTGCCTCGGCTGTCATCTCTGTACGATCCTCTCGACGAGTTGCTGCTGCTTCGACCTCTAAAGTTTCCGCCGCCACCGCCAAATTGTTTTGGTTGCAAAAGCTTGACAAGGAAGGATATCATCGAGCCTTCTGGGAAGAACGGACTGGTCTTGGCTGAAAGAAAAGTCAATTATAGCCAAATTAACAAACTACAGAAACAATCAATTTTACAGTCAAAAACGATTATCTTCACCATCCAAAACATTCATTCCCTTAAAAACTCACCATCAAACTGAAGTATGAACTGTGGACTGAAAATCTTTTCTCCTGCCAATCTGACCGACTTGTCGATTCCTCTCATCAATATCCTCGGGTCATTGTTGAAGGGCTTGCTCTCGTTGGGGAAGTAGATCTTGTTCTTCGTGATCTCAATCTTGGGTCTCTCGTTTTTGGCCAGAGATTCGGCGATGGTTCGGTAGGCTTTGGCAGAGGTCAGGATCTCCAGGAACTGAGTGATTGAAGTAAAGTCTTCTTGCTTGTGGAGGTTGAGGATTTGGACCAGCTCAAGCGACACTTTGTAAGCCGTTGGACGGCCAAAGAAGGAAGTATCCAGCTTTGAAAGCTTGTCCTGAAAATGTTGTGGGTTTGCAATAATTTATAGTAACATCAATATCCAACTATATCAACTTTAAAACATTTAAACCCTATAAAGTAAAGCAAACCTACATTTCCTTCTACTTGAATCAGGTCTTCCCTCTTTTCAGCTTCTTCGACCAGCTTTGAGGTCGAGTACATCAAGTTGACCCTGTCGTAGGCATACTCCATCCCTTTGAAGTTATACAAGCTCTGAGCCGCTTGCTCCATAACAACGTACGAAACGTTGGCACGTTGTGCAACAGCGACACTAAAAATATCATCAAATATCAAGTACAACATAAACTTTTTTTAAAATTATACCTATTCAAGTCTTTTTTTTATCAAAAACCAGCCTCACAAATCAACTAAAATCAGTAAAACCCTCAAAAACATAAACTAAACCACTTACGGAGTCTTCAAACCTTCATGTAGGTTGACCTCCCTCTTTTTGGTTTCCACAATCTCGCCTTCCTCATTCTTGACTGGTCGGTCTGGGTACATGGCGGTGATCACAACTCGGTACTTGTAGATCATTTCCCTGAACCCTGGCTCGTTTTTGCCTACAAACGACAATACATACGCGTTGATACGTGCGTTGGTCAAGAATTGCCGGTTGATGCTGAGCGTGTTCGACGGCATCTTCTCTAAAATACATAAATTAACGTGTTTTAAAAGTGTTTTGACCTGAACATCACAAAAAAGTATCAAAAATACACCCATTTTCAGCAAGAAAAATTTTAACACTTCAAAAAAGTGTTACCTAAAATACAGTTTTTGCCCCATAACCTCAAAATGACTCAAAAACAAAGCTCAAACTTAAAAAACGATTAAAAAATACCAAAAAATTCAAAATCCCTCAAAATTTCCCGAATTTAGACCAAAACCCGCAAATCTAAACCTACAACAACATCGAAAACTTCTGAAAACTTACGCGGAATCGCATTGAAATTTATGTTTAGATGTTTGACATCTTCACTGAGCTCTTCTTCACGAGGCTTCTTGGTATCCATTTTACGTGAAATGACGACTGATCGCCACGGATGAATATGCTTCAAATGATGGACAAATTCTAAACCACTGGTTAAAATTTGCATAATTCTCGGAATCGCGCGAAGTTCTAATACACTTAGCGTGACGTTGCTTTACATATTAGCATAAATATACGTAACATTAGTAGGTAACACGAAGTACCCCAAAAATACCGTAGAATAGCCCAAAATGTCACAAAAAACGTCAAAACTTCGTGAAAATTAGTAATATAACATTAGAGAAGCTTTCAAATTTAACAAAAACAGCAAATACACCAAGTTTTTACAATTTTTTATTCCGACAAAATTTTGTACCCACAGCCGAGAGTTCAAGAATTTGCTTTCGGCATTTGGCGGGCCCCCGTATTGTTTTCGCGGCGGGACCAACATGTGACCCTCGTGCTGATAACGTTCCAAGAAAACTGAAGATAAGCCATGATCAGAAATTAGGTTGACGCCCAATAAAAGATACGAAATGATTTAAAAAATATTTTTAAACCCTAATTCTAAAAAAATGTTAAGTTTTAGTGAAGTAACCCTAAACATACATGAGAAACCCACAACTCAAAAATGCAGTAGTAAATAGCAAAAAAATTTTTAAAAATTGTTCTATGCTTTCAGACATTAATATTCAATAACTTTATGCTAAGAATGCAACAAAAACCCCAAAAATATAACAAAAAGCGCAATCGATGGCAACAAAATGCCGCAAAGCGAGCAAACTTCTGGAAGAATGAGAATGACAATTGGAGAAAGTGATTGCCGTGGTTTTGATGATTAGTAGCGGCATTCTCACAATTATCAGCAATTTTATGCGCACAAAATTCAAAACGATTTCTTGTAAACAAAGTTCACAACAAAGTTCGCATTGGCTCCCGAGCTGGAGCCTGAGCTAAAATTTGAAGATGGATCAGAGCCGGAGCTTGATTTTTTGAACATGGCTCCAAAAATTATTTTTATTTATTAAACTACAGTCGTATAAAGACAATCTTCAGTCTGACAATCAAGGGACTAGTTCATACCTGTCCTTATAACCAGGGTGTCACACTATCCAGGCCGTTTTGGATAGGAGTTTTTTGGAGATTTATGAGCGTCATCCTAGTTTTAAGTTGTCGAAAAGAAAAGTTGGATTACTTTTATTTATATCACACAAACTGCAATTTTATTTAGGGAGGGGGAATAAATGGGTTTAGGCCCAGCCCGTTTTTTTTCTCAGCCGGGCCCGGCCTACATGGCTCGTTTTTGGCCCTTAATTTTATTATGATAGAAACGCAAACCGTACCAGTAGCATCAACCAATGTAGAGCCGTTTTTTAGGAAATTGCAAGCAGTACCTCAGTCAAAGTTTTGCAATCCAAAACACCTGTTGATCAGACAAAAAATGGTGTTGTGGTTCAATTCTCCATACTCAAAGTAAATTTTAGTTTTTTCGGTACTTTACTTTTGTATCTGTTGTAATTGTTAACTTTTTTGTAATAAATATTAGTTGGCAAGAGACGTAAGGGTAAAAAGCGCAAGTTTTTTTGCTGTTTCGTGACAAAATTATTAGTCTTCCATCCTACTCATTCATTTTTTAAAGCTTTTAGGTATCAAACTTTTCGTATTTCATAATTAACATTTCCATTTTAATTCTTTTTGACAAAAAATATGCTCTAGATCAGCCCTTCATCAGTCATTTTTTGCGACATGTAATTATGACATTTGCATATTGTTCGTCGCAGATCCAATCTTTTTTCATTCACTAAGCAAACAGGCCTTCCTTGCGATTGGCGCCATTTCTCCCGCCAAAAGGGAGCTTAAACAGTAATATTACTATCTAATAAAGTGTAAAAACGGCGACGACGGATTCGTTAATTGAAAATGACTTCTGGGCTTTTTAAAATGCACTTTTTCTCTGTTTTCGCGACAGAAAATTAGGCATTATGCTGGGGTTTTTAGGGGAAAATTATTTTGCTGGTCAAAAAGTTTATAGAATTTGTAATAATATGTAAATTTGTCATTTATTAGGTAACAACTTTTCAATTTTTCATTGTTTTGCACTGTGCAGTTCATTAATTTAATTGTTTGCACCATGCAATTACTTTTTATTTACGATTGCACCGTGCAAATCTCTTTCTTTTTTTCATCTGCACCGTGCACTTATTTTTTCCTTTATTTATGACCGCACCGTGCAATCCTCCAGCCTTTTTACCTTTTGCACCGTGCAGCCCCCTTTTCCTTTCCTTTTGCACAGTGCAAGCCTTTGTGTGTCGCTCACTCGCAATTTCTTCCCACTCGCACAGTGCAATTCAATTTGCATGCAATCCATCTCCAGAATGACTCGCACTTTTGGCCTGTCGCTGGCCACAAGACTCGCACAATGCAGGCCCATCGCTCTCACAGCCATCCCCACTCGCATTCTCTTTATCGCACTGTGCACTCTCATCGCTTGTCGCGCTCTCACATTCGCACAGTGCAGTGAACAGGCGCCCATCCCAATGCGACGCCCACTTTGGAGAGCGACGGCCAGTGTGCACCCACACTCGCATTGGGAGCGTCGCTTCTGTCGCTCGTCTGGGCGTCCTTTTCGTCCACTCTCGATCGGCCCTTCCAACGGCGACGACGGCCCCAATCGCCACTGACCTCGTCGCTCCCCACATTTGCCGCGTTTTTTGTGCCAAAAACTGTCTTTGGGGGCTGTCGCGCAAAGTTTTTCGACTGCAATGTCGACGGTTTCGTCGCTGTGGCATGGGACGTCGTTGAGTTTGTCGCTTTTGGGGTGATTCGCGATGAATTTGTCGCTCAAATCGGTGTTTTGTTTGTTGAAATTTTTGTCGCAAATGTCGCATCAAACCTTTTGGCTGACCTTTTGTCACAAATGTCGCTCTAAATTTTCTTGAATCATGTTATGTCGCAATGTTCCCAATGAAACATTTCTTTCACTTTTGTCGCAATTTTCCGTCATTTTCGTCGCAATTGTCGCGTTTCACGCCAGAATTGTCAGCGAATGCGAGTTTGTCGCGAATGAAAAGAAGTGCATTTCTTTTGCGTCTTCCGGTGCCTTGGGCCGACAGCGATGGTCGAGAGCCAGCTTGTGTTCATCCAGGGTGCAGTCGAACAAAAGCGACGCTCTTTTCTCGAGTGCACTGTGCAGAAGGGAGCGGTTTGGCGACACGGGTTTTGGCGATGAAATCATGCACGGTGCAGACACTTTATTGAAGGGGTTGCACGGTGCAATGAGTTGAAATTGCTTGCACTGTGCAGTTCTTTACTTGTTCGAAAGGTTTGTTCGAATGCACTGTGCAATGAATTGAAAAGGATTGCACTGTGCAGCTTGTTATTCATTGATTTGACTGCACAGTGCAATAAATTTAAATCGATTGCACCGTGCAGTTCTTTACTTGTTGGAAAGTTTATTTCGACCGCACGGTGCAAAGAATAACATTCGCTCGCACCGTGCAGTCCGTCCATTCGCACCGTGCGTTCCTCTTGTTTCTGGTGGAAATATTGTGAGAAATGAGGAGAGTGAGCAGAGAAATTTTGTTTTTGCTAGCCTCTCGCGCTTTTTTCTTCAAAAAACAACTTTCGAATAATAAAACATAACTCTCGACGGTTACCCGGATCTATTAAATATTGTCACAATTATAATTTTTGCGATTTTACGGCTAATTTGTGCATTTTTTGGCGATTTATCGGGCTTTTTGAGCAATTTTGTAGGTATTTTCATGCTTTATGACAAAAAATCAATTTTTAAAATATTTTTAAGTTTAAAAGTGCATTATCGTTTAATTTGTCGCCCTAAAATGTAAATTTTTATCGCCGTAAAATGTAAAATACGACTTGTTATCTTGTCGTACCTTCACGGGGTTATCAAATATTTTTGTCGCGACTGTCGTGCTTTTAAACTGTGTGTTTAAAGACGTTTCGAATGCTTGAACAAACAATATGACAGTGTTTGAGCAAAGTTATTAATATTCTTTTAGCGACATTCCAAGTAACTTCTGGAGTCGACGGAATCTTAACTTAACCACTTGTAGCTTTTAATCATGCCGGTAAGTACTGTAATATTGTTTTTGGGTACTTTATAACTAGTATTGTTGCAGTCGAGGCAGGTTGCGACAAAATTTATTTTTCTAATCAGTGGATATGAACTTTTTGACCCCAAAAATCAATTTTTAAGCTAGAAATTCATTTTTAACCTAGACCACAATCTCATACCTAAACCTTTCAGTCTCCACCAAAACTGCGCTCCAGAAAGCCCTCCAAGTCGCCAGCCAAACCCAAGCCAGCCACTCCAAAGACCAAAAGCCCACCCAAGAAACGTGCCGCTTCCAAGTCTCCAGCCCGTTCCAAAGCCGCAAAATCGCCAGTTAAAAAGACCCCAGCGGCAAGAGGTCGAGGACGACCATCCAAGTCACGAACATCGTCGCCAGCTTCAGTCGCATCGCTGCCATCTTCAAAAGGCAGCCCGCCTAGAAAAACCAAAGCCAGCCCTGCTAAGCCCGCTCCTCGTCGCTCCAGAAGCCGCTCCATCCAGAGGAACTCGAGAAATCGCTCCTCCTCAAGTCACTCGAAGCCAGTCAAGATCGAAGAGATCAAGGTGATCAAGCAGACCCCACTACAACAACAACCCACCCCCGGCTCCAGATCCTCCCTCCGACTGCGACAAGCCAACGGGCCCACCACCTTGACCAAGAACTTGTTCTCAGGCCTGTCGCCACGATCTCCAGCTCGCGCTGCCCAACCTTACTGGACGAGGGTCAAGAACTCAAAGGTCGGGCGGTATGTTCGCGGCATTCCACGACGATGCACTGTCGCCAACGCCAAGAGAGCCATCCAGAAGCACTGGAGGAAAGCGCTAATCGCTGGACTGCTAGTTGGCGTCGCCTACTACAGCTACTACAACAAGAAACAGATCCAGAAGCACCTGCAGGAACAATACGAGAAACTGGCGGATCTGGTGGCCAAACAAAAGAGACCAAGCATCTTCGGGTGAATTAAGTTCGTTTTTAACAGTAGGTTAGACTAACATGCTTGAGGTTGGTGTGGCGACAAAAATAATTGGGTTTTGATACCTTTTTCGCGGATTTTTAGAGATTTTTTGCTATATTAACCTTGTTTTTTCAAATTTTCTGACAAATCAAGTTAGAGTTTTTGTCGCCACACCACCTTCACTATACGCTGAGATCAAAATACATAACATAGATTAAAATTACGACTACAGTTAAGCTATTAGGCTAGCTAGGTCACTTTAAATATCAAAAAATACTTTATAAGAGAAACCGTTTCTTTAATGCCATTTTTAATTGACCATAAGATAAAGACCGAATATAAATTTACTGTGAAAAGTTTGAGCATTAAACTGGCAGTAAATCTAGAGTAGTATCAGATTTCACAGGATCGTTAATTGCTCCGAAATCCAATCGCTTTATAGCCAATGGGTCGTAAAGTTTTATCGGTCGATTCGATCACTACTTTAACATTAATACATACCTTTTTTACATAAAAATGTGAGGAAAAGGCTGATTTATATTGTATTAACCATTTCTTACTTCACTTGAAGCTTTAACGTTCAGAAACATTAAAAAACCGACCAAACTTATATTATCCATGAAGGTTCTAGCCGGAAACTGAATCTTTAATAGCTATTCTGACTTCATTTGCCGTAGAAACGACTTTAGAAAGCAAGATTGTTCTTTTCCATACCTAAAAACACCAAAAAGCAAACCAAAACTTTGAGAATTACCTGAGAATAAGGTTAAGCACCTTAACCATCTAATCCAAGTTGTTTCAGTGGAGATTGGTTCGTCGACACACCGCCCACTGCCGTCCCACCCAAGCACGAAACCGTCACCGAAATACCGCGGCAACCATGAAAGAGAAAAAAAAACGCCTTTGGAACTTTCGAATTTTTATTTTTTTCCCAATTTTTCGCCCCAAATCCTCGATTTTGAGCCAAAATTTGGCTGTTATTGCTAAAGTTTGTTTATTCCTGGGCTAGCCCCGGGTTGAGTATGTTATAATCATTGGTTTTAATAATTTTTAATCTATTTTTTACATTTCTGACTTGCATTTTATTGGTTTTTTTTGTTTTTTCGTAAAATTTTGATATTTTTTTGCTTTGTTGCAGAATGTCAATGTTGCCTGCATTTCGTGGTGGGACCAAATGCAGCTGTCGATGTTGCTCGTATTTTAGAAATTTTTAGAGAAGTAACTTGTTTGTTAGCTAGACTAAAGTTTTTTTATGTTCGACCTACCCAATTTTACAAGTTTTATTTTGATTTACATTAAACTTTCTAAAACTTCCAACTCTGGCATTCTACAACAATATAATTTTTTTCTTACTCTAACTTTTAAGTAATTTATGAGATATATGTTTGTTTTCTAAGTTCACCACAGACCGTTGGGTCTTTCACTCCATACAAACACATTCGTCAAGCTCGGAATACAGTAACCTGTTTATATTAATTGCTGTAGGGTTTGAACAAAGTGCATTATGACCTCAGGATCTACAAGATTTTAACAATTTTGTGTCTTAGTACCAGTTTGTAGTAATAATTTGAAGCATTTATAAATACTGTGAAATACGTGGGATATTGTTTGATAAAGGGGCGACGTGTTAAGACGTGAATATTATACTTGGTCCAAATATAAACCATGTTTTTGTCGCTAAATTTAAAGTTTAAAAATGGATTTGAATAAATTGTGGAGGTTGGAGTTGAAAGCCCTTTGCGATTAAAGTTGGTTTTTCAACTGTTTAAAGGCTGTAATAGCTATTAGAATAGTCGAAAAGAAGGTTAAGTTAGTGTCAGATAGCATCTCCGTTGTCTGCATCGTTTCGATGGGTCAATTTGACGTTTTTCAATAATAGGTATAGTGGATTTTGGTTGTTTTTGGATACCTAGATTCATTTTTTGTGTTTTAGTGAAGGAGATATTGATATTGGTTTGAAGGAAAGTGTTCTTTGAGGGTTTTAAAGTGAATAATCTGATTCAGAAGGCTGTTTGAAGTCAGAAGGCTTGCTGGACTTTGATTTTTAACTATTTTTGTTATGTTTAATGTCTGAAGATCAGTTTGAAGCCTATATTTTAAAAATAGACTTTGGTTTATGTGGGAATAGCGGTACTGTACTGGTCAGTGTTATATTGTTGTAGTCACATATAAATACTGTCCAATAATCCATTCCAGCCGCTTTTCATGCCCCACCCTATTCACAACTTGTTAAAAAGCCTCATATGCGTCATTGACACATCATTAAAATACATTTAAACACTTTGTAGCGAGTATAATAACTTTATCAGAAAAGCGTAGGCAATGTCAATGTTCTCCACCCAATTGAAGATAACATTATGTTTGGCTATTCCGATATGATAATTAATGTTTGCTTTTGGGAACAGAAGCCACGTTTTTTGTTTATGATCGCATTTTTGAAGGGTAAGCTTCATTTGCGGTCAAAAAGTGCGTAGAATTTCAGTTTGTTGCAAAACTCGCGTTTTACTTGCTTTTTCTATGAGGTTTTGGACCGTTTTACAAATTTAACACAGTTTTGACAATATCTTACATTAGATGTCACATTTTCTTTGAAATAAAACCCTTTTATGCAGATATTATAATTGAATAGTCTTTTATCCGGCCTAAAACACGTTTCATCGTATAAAACTTCCCTTTAAAAATATTTTACAAATTCTAAGGAGGCGGATCCGAAACCGGAAATATCAGAAATCTGCGACCGTTTTTGTGGTTTTACAATATTATTATAACAGATGGACGAAACCCCGATCTCCAGGCCAACTAACACCTTTTCGATATTGTTTTAGACGTTTTGATGGGGAAAAGGCTGTTTTCAGACAGTTTTGAACGCGTTTTGGTGTTTTAAATGATATACAATGTTAATTGGCTAATTCTGAATTTAATTTATGTTGTTTGAGCGATTTACAATGTTGTAAATGAGGAGATACGAGCGCTCTTTTGATACGTATCACATAATATTCGTTTATTGAGTGTATCTTGATGTATATAGGGTTTATATAGAGTAAAGTAATATTTTTAGAAGACTTGGTACCCGATAATCTCACAGAGTAAAGCTCATTACCTAAACTTCACAATGGTTTTTGATAAACCCGTAAGTTTGTGACATTTCGTTCTTTTATTGATTGTTTGTAGTTAAAATACGTTCAGAAACTATAGTAAGATTTCAAAAACTCGAATAAATGGAAATTTTGAGCTTTTAAATTGTTAAACTTGATTTTACAATAATAATCTTTGTTAATTTAAAAAAGTTTTCTTCGTATTTTAGGTAATATTTCTTCATTTCCAGATCTAATCCGACTTGTTTCAGGTAAAAGAGATAGTATGTGTTGGTGCCGGTTATGTTGGAGGTCCAACATGTGCGATGATTGCTCACAAATGCTCGAATATCAATGTTACTGTGGTGGATATGAACGCGGACAAGATTGCTGAATGGAATTCTGATAAACTACCGATCTTTGAGCCTGGGCTAGAAGAAATTGTGAAGGCTGCGAGAGGGAAGAATCTGTTCTTCTCGGCTGACATTCCAGCTTGTATCAAGAAGGCGGATTTGATCTTCATCTCGGTTAATACTCCTACAAAAACGTGAGTTTGGCTTGTTTTAGGTAAAAAGGTCTTTATAAAGAAGTGTTTTTACATTATTTAGCTAAAAGAAGTAGTATATTTTCTTGAAAATATGATTTTTTTTCTATTTTGGACCAGCTTGAGCTGTATTTCTGATTTTTAACTGATCCTTTCTATAAATATATTGTTGTAGGTATGGACGAGGAAATGGAATGGCTCCAGACCTAAAATACGTCGAATCGGTCGCACGGACGATTGCTGAACATGCTGAAAGTGAGAAGATTGTTGTGGAAAAGTCAACTGTACCAGTGAAAGCGGCCGAGAGTATTACATTCATCTTGAAGGAAGCTCAAAGCTATAAACAAAATGTCAAATTTCAAGTGAGGTTTCAAGTTTTTCAATGAATTTTTTACTTTTTATTATGTTTTTTGAGGTAATATAACGTATTTTCTTGCTTTTTTATGTCAATGTGGTTGTAGAATAGGTAAAAAATGAAAGGTTAAGATAAAAGTTTGACTTGAAGTCTTGTCTTGAAGAATATTTTTAAAAATTTTTCGAAGATAATATAGAGTTTGAAGCTCAATATCGTTTTTAAAGGATAATATAAGCCCTTTCAGGTCCTTTCCAACCCGGAATTTTTGGCTGAAGGTACCGCAATGACAGACTTGGCCAATCCAGATCGTGTCCTCATCGGAGGAGAGAAAAGTCCCGAAGGTGAAGCTGCTGTCCAAAGACTCGTAGAAGTCTATAGTAACTGGGTATCAAAGGAACGTATCATTACGACCAACACCTGGTCTTCAGAGTTGTCAAAGCTGGCTGCTAACGCCTTTTTGGCTCAGAGAATCTCTTCGATCAACTCGATTTCAGCCATTTGTGAAGCGACTGGAGCTGAGATCAGTGAAGTCGCTCATGCTATTGGGAAGGATACTCGAATTGGGGCCAAATTCTTGCAGGCTAGTGTTGGTGGGTTTGTTTTTGTTATAGATCATCAGATGAATATTGTTATAGACTATCAGACATTAAAAATTGATTTTAATTTTTAAAAAAACTGTTTATATATTGTAGTAGATGTAACTAATAAACACCTTATTTTAGGCTTCGGAGGCTCATGCTTCAAGAAAGACGTCCTTTCTCTTGTGTATCTGTGCGAATCTCTGAATTTGAAGCACTGTGCCGACTACTGGAACGCTGTCGTCCAAATGAATGAATGGCAACGTCGTCGCTTCTCGGACAAGATTGTTCTGGAGCTTTTTAACACTGTAGCCGAGAAGAAGATTACTTTCTTCGGATTTGCTTTTAAAAAGAACACTGGAGACACCAGAGAATCGTCAGCTATCAGCGTAGCCAAGCATCTGTTGGATGAGAAGGCCAAGTTGACCATTTATGATCCAAAAGTCACTGAACAACAAATGAGAAACGATTTGTTGATGGTTACCAGCAAGGATAAGGGTAAGATAATACAAGTTCAACCTATGATAACATCATCTTTTAGTCGATTCTGTTGAATATTCGACTGATCCCTACAAAGCAGCTGAAGAATCGCACGCTATTGTGATCTTGACCGAGTGGGACGAGTTCAAAACATACGACTATGAACGTCTGTTTGCTTCGATGAAGAAGCCAGCCAGTGTCTTCGACGGTCGACTTCTGTTGGATCAACACAAGTTGAAGTCGATTGGATTCAGAGTGTTCACGATCGGAAGCATGCCAACTCAGGCTTACAAGTTGTTTGATTAGGAGCTGGTACAGAGAGTATAGATGGTCACTTAGATATATCAGCAACATAAGTCGAGCTATATGGACGTGGATGCTGTTTTACAGAGTTCAGTGGTCATTGATGTTGTGATAGCTCATTCAATGGTCCTGAATGACTATTGTTTTGGTTTTTATGGGCGCCGGCGACTTTTCTTGGTAGTGAATGATCATTTAGACTATTTTTTCAAGCTTTTTGGGGCTTTTCTTCTTCATATTTCTCTTTACTTTGTCTACTACAATGTCCACGAATGGATAGTGTAACCAGTAGTTATATGTTTTTACATTTAGGAGGAGATATTGATGATGCCAAGTCTTTTTTATTACTATTACCACACTTTCCTTTTACATTTCTATTACCACATTTTACTTTTATTTCTATCACTACAACTATTATGGTACAGCTACATATCTTTAACATTGTCGTATGTCTTTTACTAATTTTTTGAAACATTTTCAACTTTAGAAGTGTATTTTCTGACAGTTTTATGGTCAGAGTTTTAAAGATTTTAACATTTTTAACAATTAGTTAGTAATATTTTTTAATTTTTTAACAACTAGAGTCATATTGTTTTATATGAAAATATTAACGTATCATTTCTTACCCATATTTATTTTATTTTGTCAATTTTCATAACATTTTTAAAATTATTTTTAACGTTTAACGCATAATTTATGATAAATATTTGAAATAAATATTATATATGGTGAAGTAATTCGTTTTTACTATGTTGAGATACATAACTTAAAATAGGTATTTGTATATTTTGTTTAGGGTTGGAAAAGTTTTTTAATAGTGGTGGCATAGCATACTTTACAGTGTTTGATGACGTTATATATGTTATTCGAGATGACATGGTATGTTTTACTTTTTAAGACAATGAGCATGTCTAGACATTGGGAACGGGCCTACCATCAGGCCGGGCTTGAAAGGTGGGCTCGGCCTGTTCCCCATGTCTAAGCATTTCATAACTTAACTATCAGCCCAAGAGTGTTGTTATAGCCCAGTTTAACGAACTAAAGCATGCTTTTTACAAAAACCCCACTTAAACCATGCTTATTACAAAAAACTTGATTTGCCAAAATTTATTCAATGCCCATTAGAAATTTGGCTTTTTACGGGAAAAAGCAGATATAACGACACGAGCCGGCCCCCTTCTCTCTTCTCCCATACCTCTTTTCGTTAGACTTTGTATAGCGTCGCGGTTCGGAAGAGAGGGGCAGAGAAGTGTCGCTCTACGTAGTTTTTCGCTTTTAGAGCGTCAGGGCTGCTTTAGCTGGGGGAAACGGCCGCTTTTTGTCTTGAATTTAAAAATTATGTATTATACAAAGGTAATGTGAAATAATGGTGTATATAAAGGTAATATAGACTTTAGATGAAGGTGATATAGGCCTTGTGTATAGGAAACGTTATAGAGAGAGAATTTTGTGTTTGTGAATTTTGTGATTATATTAGGTTGTTCAAATAATTCTGAGCTCTTTCTCAAAGCTAGTTTTCGGGGGTAGAGGGCGCAGAATTAGTTGAACAACGTAATAGCTAGAGTTTCTTAGTTATACAACTCAAATATGAACTTAAAATGAATGGCAATAACTTTTTGAAACGTATTTAATCTTTGGGAATATAAAAATCCCAAAAAATATTAACATAGGTACCATGAAGAAATCCAAAGGTATTTAATGTATCTAGTGCACTAGCTAGTGTAATATAAAACTTAGATTTGAGACAGAGTATAAGCGGATAGAAAGCAATAAAATTGTTACAGTGACACCATGAGCTTCCTATACAAACTTTATTGTTGTCATGGAGACTTGTCGTTATAATAAAGTTATTTGCTTGTCTAACTCAACATTTGCTTTTTGATAGCGTAGTTGATTAAATTGCAGTATCTGTATATATGTACTTTTTGATGGTGTAATTGGTTACATTATAGTGTAATTTGGGTTTATCTTGTTTTACTATAATATATTTTTGGTTTTACTGAGGTATTGTAAATCATATAGCATGATAACGGTTTCTGGGATATTTTATAAGGTTTAAGGTTGTTCAAATAATTCTGTGCCTTTTGTCAAAGCAAATCTTTGGAATTGGGTAACACAGAATTATTTGAAAAACCTAGTACTAAAGTTTTCATAAAGTAATGGCTTATATGATGAAGTAAACGATGACTGTTACAATATAATATCGCTGATATCAAAGATTTATTAAAAAATTTTTAAGTAATAAGTTTTTAAATTTCACATTAATGCTTTCAATTATTATATTACAGTACCCCAATGGAAGCCACCTCCGACACAGAATCCGATCTTCCAGCACATTACCATCACGTTGTGCACAAACGACGCTCCATATCGATGGCTCAGAAAAAGGACATTGTACAAAAATATCGTGAAGGAAGACCGTTGAATGAGATCAGGAAGGAGTACAACCTTCCTCGATCCACAATGTTGTGCATCATCAAGAAGTCGGAAGAGATTCTACAAGCTGCCAATCCTTGTAGTTTCAGGAAGAAGAGAATTGTCAAGGTGAGATACGAAGTCATGGAGAAGGAGGTCTACAAGTACTACAAGATGTGCATAGACAGAGGACTGCCGATCAATGGGGATGATATTAGGGTAGGTTAATATTTTTATTATTGTAGGTAAGTTTTTAAGGATTAGAGTTATATTGAGGTAGGTAAATAGGTAATAAGAAGGCTTTCTAGGGACCTTAGGCTAGGTTGAAGGTAAATTTATATTGTTTTAGGTAAAGAAAAAAAAGAATTTTTGTATATAGGGAAAGGACAGAGAATATAGGTTTTCTTCTTAAAGCCAGAGGCCCTGTAAACGTTTGAAACCCCAAATTCCAAACTTTTCTTTTCAGAATCACGCCAAACAAGTAGCCGAACAGATTGGAGAACATGAATTCAAAGCCAGTATGGGCTGGTTGGGAGGATTCAAGAAAAGGCACGGCATTTCCCTGCGATCTAAACCCGGAGAAATTGAATTTAAAGAGGATTCAGAAGCACCTGAATCTTCTGAAGCTACGGATTCTGACTCATTGTCCGCTGAGCTTCTACAACTACAAAAGCAGATCACTGAGCTTATTAAGAATTCTGGAGGTAAAGATTGTGAAGCCTTTGGAACGGTCGGGAATGAAGGGTCTGATGATGTTGGGGAAGAAGATGGAGCTATTGAGGGTGAAGGTTCTGAAGATGTTGGAAGTGAAGATTCTGGCTATTTAAAGAATGATAGTCAAGGTTGTGAGGATGAAGGTAATATAAAGGATTATGAAGGCGTTAGAAATGATGGATTGGATTCTGTAGACGTTGCGGGTTTGGAGGTAGCTTCTGGAGAAGTCCAAAATAATGACGTAAATCTTCAAAAAGTGAAAACTGAAGGCATAAACTATGAAGATATTGATAATGGCATCAAAAGTAGTAACAAAGCTACAGATTCATCTGAAGGAAGTAAAAGTGATGCTACTGTTTCAGCTCGAGCAAGTAAAAGTGAAGCTTCAGATTTAGCTCATGGAAGTAAAATTGGTGCTACAAATCGAGCTGAAGGAAGTAAAATTGGTGCTACAAGTTCATCTGACAGCATGGAAATATTGAGAAGATATGTTGATATCGACCCTGCAGTAACTAGCAAACTTCTTCGAACTTTTCTGAGTAATCGCTACATAAAGACAAACGATAAAAATGATGATAAGCCTAAGAATGCAACTATTACTCCAACTTTAAGACTAAGAAAAAAGAAAACCAGTTTTTATCAAAAAGCAAACAAACTCAGGATGCTTCAGGAGGCAAAGAAAGCAAAATTGCTTCAGAAACAGAAGCTGGGTATTGTTAATGAAACAAGAAGCAACGTTGAAGCTCAACAACAAGTTGTTACTCAAGAACCCATTGACGATAAAACAGCGCTACAAGAAGTTATTCAAAATGTTAAATCGACCCAATCAACTTCAGAATCTAAACATGTAGCAGAAGTCTTAGAAAGTTCTTCAATTGTGGTACAATCAGTGGAAATTCCAGAAGCTTCAAATACATTAGAAGCTTGTGTCAATCCTAATGGCCTAACACAACATCTTGAAAACAACCTCGCACAAGAGCAAGTTGTTATTGATTCAGAACAAGAAGGGACAGATGAGGTTATCAAAGCATTGGATGTTATCGACCGGTATGTTCAAAAGAGTAACGATGAAGGTCTTCTCCAGTTGACTAAAAAGTTTAGCGAAAAGCTAAATCAACATCTGTTGATGAAGATTCTCTTTGGTTCGAAATAAGGTTTAATATAGGCTGTTCAAGTAATTCTGTGCCCCCTAAAATTAAGATAAATTGTCGTAAACCTTTGATATTTAATATTGTTTTTAGGTTGTTCAAAAAGTAATGAGCTATGTATTATAGCAAATTTTTGAGATTAGGGGGCACAAAATTATTTGATCAGCCTGATTTTATATTGTTTCAGAAATTTTTTAATTTTTCATTTTAAAGATATTATTTTACTTTGCTTGTTACTAATTGATAAAGTGTGTCATCTTATTAAGACGTCGCAAAAGTTTTGTCGTTTCTTTGCTGTTAAATGCTAAATAACTAACGACAGGACTTTTGCGGCACCTAACTTTATTTGAAACGATTGTAATAGCTTTTAAAGCGAATAATTTAACACATCTTGTTTTGGTTATTTATGCTGGTATATTCAATATTGTCATCTTTTTCATTTTTCTCAAATTTTAATTATATTATAGGAGGTTCTTGTCATATTAGGTCGTTCAAATAATTCTGAGCCTCCTAACCCCGAATTTTGCTTTAAAAGGGCTCAGTATTATTTGAAGGACCTATTATACATAATGAACTTCTACTGCCATTTTTTGTTGCTTTTATAATTCTTGTTTTTTATATTGTTGCCTATAACGAAAGTCTTTTTCAATCTTTATTTTTTCACATTTTAAATTTGCTTTGTTGTTATTTACTATATAAAACACTTTGATCTTTCAATAAATAGTTTTATACCTAAAATTAAATGTTACTATAACATCATTCCCATTTAATCCAAAACCTAAATTATTACCTAAAATATGATAAAATAGCTTTCAAATATAGAGAATATAAGCTTAAAACATTACTTCTTCATAAAACAGAATAAAGAGAAGAAGTAATGTTGATGTGGAGAAAGGAATGCAATAACCGCCAATTTTTGACGTTGAAAGCCTGTGAATAATCCTCCCCCGAAACGACAAATCCAGCCGATTGGCCTTTAATTAAATGGGTAAACTATGCAAATTTTGGGAGCAAAAAGTCATTTATAAGAATTCGAATACTCTGGAGAGTTGTTTTGATGTTTGGGTACTAAAATAGTTTAGTTTGGGCACTTGTGAAGTATGAAAGAGGTATTTTAGTGAGATTATGTTATATTAATCTTGATATTTTTTATGATAATATTGGATAAAAACCAACAGAATGTTTTTGTAGAAAGTGTACATAGTAATTTTATTGTAAAATACGTTCATTATTATGGGAAATGCAGTAAATGAATAATATTTTTATATTTTTATTAGTGCTTCGAATAGAAATCGAAGAAACGTTAGAGAAACAGAGAAAATGTCGGATTTTTCGTCTTTTCGGAAACCCAATCAAAAGACAAGTGTCAGTTTTATAACCCCATGTTTAGTATAGAAGGTCTTCGATCTTATAGATCCAATTCAAGGTAAACTTGAGTTCCAGACCATTGAAAGATGTGTTTGGGGTTGGACATTTTTTGGGATTGCCAGCGGGGTTTCTGTTGGCTTATGTTTTACAAATATACTTGCTATAACTTTGTTGGCACATTATAAAAAAAAGAGTTAAGACCCTTAAAATAGTTTTGAATACAGTGAAACCCCTTTAGTATGACCCTCGATAGTGTGACATCTTCTTTATAATGTCATCTGCATGATCGGTTTTTGTAATAGAAACCTTAGCAAAACGTGTCAGGGTAATGTGCCATCTTTGTTATAAGTTTACTATGACGCATACGCTTTTTAAAGTACTTCAAATAAAAATAAGTTAAAAATTAAACAGATTTATGTTATCACGAAGAACAAAAAGAAAATGTTGATGTAGCTAGGGCTGGACGACGAAGATGAGCAGTTTCTGTTGAGAAATAGAAAATAATTTTTTTTCTGACCAAAATCGCTTACTTTTTATTGGTCGTGAGACTCAAAATTTGGTTTTGAAAATACAATGGAACTCCTGTATAACGAATTGCTTGGGAATTCAGAATTTGTTTGTTATACGGAAATTTCGTTGTAGAGTAGTTCGTTATACAGGAGTTCCACTGTAGAACTTTACGATGATCTTATTAATATCGTTCTCTTACACCGTTACATTAGGTTGTTCCAATAATTCTGCCTTCTCTCTCAAAGCAAATTTTCGAAGTTAGGGGCACAGAATTACTTGAACAACTTAATATTATCCTCCCCAAGATTAGCACTTTTTTTCGTACACTTCCCCATCTTTTATTACTATTGTATTCAACTGTTTTTTATGTTTTTATTTTTCGAAACTGTGAAAAGCGAGGCGCGCGCTACAGAGCGTGAAAGCCATGTTTTCGTGATTGAGCTACTGATTTTAACGGATTTTGGATAAAAGCGACAGAGTTGTGTTCAGAGTGAAAGTAAAAACGGCCATTTGTGGTCACGTCGAACGCAGTAGGTATTTTTGTTGGGATTGTATAGTGACGTTTTTGCTTTGCAATGTAAAAAGTAAGGTGATATAATGATAAACTGGGCTAGGTGGGAGGGTAATTTTGGTCTAGGAGCAGACAAAACAGAGATTTTTTGTTTATAGGGAGGTGTTTTTTATAGTAGGGGCATGATTAGTGTTTTGTCTAAACTAGTCCAAACTGTTGTTTTTTGGTCCAGTCCGCCTATTTTCGGGGCCGACCAGTACAACGCTCTAAAACTTAGGATCAGTCCGGTCTAAAAAAATTTTTGTTGGTTTAGTCCACTCCGTTCCGAATTAGTCTGGCAAAACACTGGGCATTATAGGGTAGGGTAGGGAGGGTAGGGTAGGGTAGGGTAGGGTAGGGTAGGGTAGGGTAGGGTAGGGTAGGGTAGGGTAGGGTAGGGTAGGGTAGGGTAGGGTAGGGTAGGGTAGGGTAGGGTAGGGTACATCTGAACTCAGTAGCCAGCTTTGACGTCATTTAACAACCTTGACATTCTCGACTAATCTCTGTAAAACTGGTTACCGTCGTATCTTAGTCATCGACCGTAACACACACTTTTTCTGCATATATGTCGCACATTTTGTCGCATCGTCGCCCACATTTGAATAGTATTTAAATCCGTGTTAACTGAGTTATAAACTTTTTTTTGTATTTTACGGTCAATTTTAAGTCGTATCGACGAGGTTTGCGAAAAAGTTTATGTCGTACGAGCATCGTATATAGGTGTATATTAAAGGTGTGGTCTTAGGAGTTGAAGGTGATTATTGAGGGGGTTTTGAGATGATTTAAAAGGTTATGATATTTACTTTTACTTATAGACAGTTAAGGGTAAAATTGCATATGTTGTAGTAGGTTGTTCAAGTAATTTTGGGCTTCCTTTCAAAAGCAAGTTTTTGAAATTAGGAGGCTCAGAAACGTTAGAACAACCTCTGATAGTAGATATAACTTAATCTTTTGACACAAAATTTACCAAAAAAATTTTAATTTTTAAAAATTTTTAGATTTTAGGTAATAATTTTATAAATTTAGGTAACAATTTTTAATATCTAAAAGAAAAATTAACAAATAGTGACCCTTATGAAGCAATGACAAAACTTATGGAATAAGCGTGAGAGGGTCTTTTATTTTGGGTAATATCTAAATTTGCAAGACGAGTTTAATTCAATCTGCGGCCATAAACGAGTTTTTTTGCATTGGAATATATCAACGGCCATAAAAGTTGCATTTATATGTTTGATATAAATTGTTGATGTGTATCACATGTTATGGTAATATATCTTTACATTTTTACATATGGTATCTATACGTTTTTTACATTTTTTTTGGTTTATAAGGTTGTTCAAATAATCCTGTGCTTCTTAATCCCGAAAATTTGTTTTGAGAAAGGGCTTAGAATTATTTGAACAACCTAGTATGTATCATGTTTAAACGTTGTTAATTTTAATAGACCAATTTAATTTTACATTATAATGCCTGAAATGCTAAACTAAGATACTTGATGATATGTTGGTACTGAAATCTACTGTAATTATTTACATTTTTCAATCTTTTGTACTTTCGCATGTAACTTATAAGCCTGCCAGGTTGAAAACATTAGTTTCAGGTGTAATATGCTGTCGTTGTTACTCTTGTTCTTAGCAAATGCTCCAGCAATATTAGCACGACAGTCTGTATTTTCATGTCCATTAAGTCCAGGACTATCAGGCCTACCAGGAGTGATACCTGGCTATGCTGGGATTGGAGAAGTGTAGGTTTATAAATACTTAAATGCTTAGCTTTTCTTAGGTTTTTACTTACTGATTTTGATTTTTATAATTTGTATTGTACGACTTACATAAGTAACTTAAAGTATGTCATATTAAAATATACATAAAAGTATACCAGTAACACAGTATACGTATTTTACAATATTGTTTTAGCTGTGGATCAGGATCATTTTTACATTACTGGATTTGTTGTGAAGATTATCCCTTCGAATGTTGTTTCCAGTTTGAAACATGGGCGATGTAAGTAACTTTTTTAAAATTAAAAATAAAAAGTTGATGTAGCAGTCATATACTTGAAAGGAGCCAGATCGGGCTTGCACATGTGGATCCAAGGGCCGGGTCTTAAACTAAAGCCTGGCCCTTTTATAGGTCTAAGTGCAACTCCATAGTAAGGTTTATTGTTCTGCTCCTTTAAACTTTAAAACAGAACGACGCTGGAACCAAGGTTGGAACTCTTAAAAATTGATGAGAAATTCCATTTTTAATACTATTTATATAACTATTTTTAAAAACGCTATTGACAAACTTTTCTTAGAGTACTGTTCGCCGTGATACTTGTTCTTCTGGTTGGTGCAGGATTGTTTGCGTTGGGTCGATTAATTGCTACAAGATATTAAACTGCTAATTTTAATTTTAAAATATTTGAAGTATTGTAAATAAATTTTTGTATAGTTTTGAAAATGTAATACATCAAAACCTCTTTTGTATTACTGTCAATAGTCCATGACTCTTTTGATAATGACAGTTTTCGGACAGTCCTTCGTAATATTATATAACCAATATCAAAAAGTACCTGAACAGTGTAACACCCTGGTTATAAAAACCGGTTTGGACTAGTTACTTGAGTGTTATGTTAAAGAGGTTTACTGTAACTTTTTTTTATTTATTTTTTGTAATTGCTCAATAAGTACTGAGGAGAGTAGTGGGGTTTAAGTTCGGTTTTTACGTGAGGTAGCTCTTGAGCTTGTTTCATGGCTTGAAAACTTGCCCGTCCATCGTCTTTGGTGTTGTCTAAGCCGTCTGGCCTTGAAGACGCACAGTGTAGTAATTATTTAAAATTATTTCTATTTCGAAACTAAAATTATATTAAAAAACCAAATTTTTTTAAAACGTCAACTCCGTATTTGTACTGACAATATACAAAAATTAAAATTTTAATTGTGAAAAGCACTTGTTAAAGTTCAAAAGCTACATTAACATCAAAGACAATCAGATTTATTGCTCTTTAAGCAAACAACAACCGTTTATCGTTCCTAACTGCGTCAACGCCACCATGTAAGTCAATTCGTACTACCGGTCTGACATGATATTGTACTGAAATAGTAGTTACAAATTGGAAAGATTCATACAATAAAGTAAAGCGTATTTTACAAAGTAAAGTATATCGTACTTTAAATGTTACCTAACACGTCTGCTATCCACCCAGAAGCCTGGAGTAACAACCCTTACGCCTGGGACATACCAGACCCAGATGGCATCTTCAGACCACAGAATCACAATGGTATACCGCTTGTCAGAGCCATAGTAAAATGTTTATATGCATCGTGTGGAGTATTTGGAGGTATGTTCTCATTAATGTTGCTATCTTTGGTATGGTTTCAATCGACCGGTAATATGAAGAGTTATGCTCGTATGTTGATGTTGTGTTGCGCTTCTGACATTGGGTTCTGGTTTTGTGATACGATTGTGCAGGTTGTAAGTTGAGATGGGTAAAGTAGTTGAGATATTAATGTAGCTAGCGATATTATGACTTTAAGTTGTAAGTATGGTATACATATACGTTTATGTGTACATATTGCTTTATATAATGGTAAATATATTCATAAACATTAGGTTGTTTAAATAATTCTGTGCTCCTTCTCAAACAAATTTTGTTTAAAGGCACAGAATTATTTGAACAACCTAATAGTAGTAAATATAGTGTATAGACTTAAAAACAATAGTAAACTTGCTTCTTACAGCGTACCAAATTGGCAAGTGGTATATTTATGGTGACTTTTGAAGGCATAGCCAAGCATTTATCGTACGAATTACAAGTTCATGCTATGTGTTGGTACGTCTGTCATCTGTTTCTGATGCATACGATTATACCAGTACAATATATGTTCAGATTGTATAGTCTAATGCGGTATGTTTCAATTTTTGAAATCATGCTATTAGGTTGTTTTAACAAGAATGACCGATTTTAACCTTGATTTGTTTGGCAAAAGCGGTCACTCTTTTTGGAACAACCTAATAACGGCGAAAATACCCAAACTGCCCTCCCCCCCTAAAGTAAAAGTCAAAAAATGACAAAGTTATAAGCTTGAAACGCAATCCCAATTTGGCGGAAACGTATTTTACCTATACTATTGTAGCCCAACAACACCAGTGACAGTCAAGCAAACAGTCGGTTTATTCATCGGAGCAGCAATAGGCACCATACCTATGTACTATATCACTTACAAAACATATCGGTACTCAGCCATGATACGACCAAACTTCAATTATGCTACTGTATGGTTTGATGAACAACCTGTACCTCCTTTAATCATCGGTGATATTGTAAGAAGTTTATTTTTAAGACCGTTTTGGACCAAATGTGTAATATGGAAAGAAATGAAGAAAACGTATTTTACTCTGTTATTATGCTGTTCAAATACTTTTAAGCCCCTCTTACCCCAAAGAGTTGATTTGAAAGAAAGCACAGAATTATTTTAACAACCTAATACTTTTATGCTGTTGTAAAATCAGAAACAACTTCAAAGTCGTTTTAGAAAGACTACTACATGAAGATGTACTTCATTGTATCGATAATTATTGTTGGAGGATGTTACTTGCTAACTCTAGTATTGGTTGTGATAACAATTCGCAAACTATGTCAATATCAATCTAGTTTCTCAGCAAAGACAAAAGAATTACAACGACAACTTACTTTGTCTTTAACGTATCAGGTAAGTATTTTCTGCGTTGTAGATATGATAGTTATATGATAATTCACTACTGGATACTGGTAGCGTATTTTACCACAGAACATACTTTCTGAAAGCTTTTATCATTTGGATATTTTGAAATTTTAAAACTCAACTTTAGACTACGATTTTTGTAGCATAACTTCTCCTTTCAATTTTAAAAAATATAAGCCAACAGAAACCCCGCTGGCAATCCCAAAAAGTGTCCGAATCCAAACACATCTTTCAATGGTCTGGAACTCAAGTTTACCTTGAATTGGATCTAGAAGATCGAAGGCATCTCTTACCAAACATGGGGTTATAAAACTGTCTCTTGTCTTTTGATTGGGTTTCGCAAAAAACAAAGAGAAGAGAGTTTTCCCTTTCTCTTTTTCTCTTTCTTCTTGTTCTTTTTAACGCTATTTTTTCGCGGCTGTCTGTACTTGTTAAAAACATATCTTTTAGCTATTGACACCCGTTATAGTCAACTTAATTTTGAGACCACTCTCGTTATAGTCAACTTAACTGTAAGGCAACTTTTGATATAGTCAACAAGATGTTTACTCTGGGTCATGGTGTTTCAATTTTAAAAATGGTTGATAAAAAAACTGTTGTTCTTAATACGAAATGTCTATAATATATATAGTCAAACTCCTTCAGTATGACACTCAAAGGAATAGTCCAAATCTGTTTTTATATTCTTGATATTACACTACCTAGGTCTTTTTTGATAGAAGTTCTATTACAAAAAGAGGTCAGACAGCTGTTAGTATAAAGGAATTTTTTACTATTGAGAGTCATACTATAAAGAATTTAATCTATTTTAACCCCACTGTAATGATACTACTACTTACATTGATATTATCATAACGTTTTTACTATATCTAATTTAATATTACTAAATGGTAGCCATTTCCAGACGATGCTGCCAGTATTCACGTCAGTATTGCCAATTCTTTTTATATGTGTCCCGTCGTTTCTTGAGCTTTCGACTGGACCAGCGGCAAGTATTCAGTTGGCTTCAGTATCTTGGGTACCAGTACTAAACCCCATACTAAACATATGGATTATCTACCCCTATCGACGTTACGTATTTGATATTTTACTCTGTAATCGCATCAAATGTGCACGTGCTCATACGAGTAGTGCTGGGGTTAACCTACCTAACACTACTTCTGGGGTTCCTTTGAGTCTTGCTTGAGGATGAGTAACATACCTTTCAGTCATGGATAACATACCTTTATATCTCTTTATATTATACAGTATAAGGGTATATATTATATAAATATGGCCATGTTGTATATATGTATGTATAGTACCATAACCAATAATCTTACAGTAAGTTACCCAAAACTTTAATAAATATTGTCATTGTTTATATTACTCAGTAAACAATCGTAAAACCGGAAGTAAGTAACCCTGAACATTGTAGTATTTAACAAAATTTGAAAATAAGTATGTGGAAACAAAGTTTTTGCAGTATTCTACTAAAAACTACATTTTGTAATGGCTTTTCATGGAACAGCAAAGACTTTGTTTCCAAGAAGGATAGAGTGACACTGAGGCAAAGTAAGATTATTACATTTGTATATGTATATAAGGAAATTGAGAAGATACCATAGTGCTATAACAAGGTTGCAGATACAATAATAACCTGTAAAACGATAAAAGAGACATAACAAAGTTACAGTAGGGTTGTAGGAGTACGTATTTGAGGAATACAGTACTTACCTTAAATGAGAAATACAGTACCTAATATAAATAAAGATTACATAAATAAATAAAAAAAAATTTTTTTGGTATTATATTATATTTTAGTACCATACTATAATATAAAATAATACTTAAAAAACTTTACCAGATACTGTGGCATACTGTATTGCCAAAGTTAATGAAACTACAGTAATTACAGTATAAAGCTTTAAAAAATCATTTTGGCTAGAGTAATACTGTTTGATACTACGGTACCCCACTTCCTACTGTAACATAAAACTTTAACAAAATACGAGTCTTTGATGCTGTAAGGCAGTAGTCGCTTAAACTGTACAAGAATTGAGGCCTAATAAGTAAGGTTACAGACTGAAAAGTTACAGCAATTTTCCATCTTCTTGAAATGTTACAGTAACTTTCAAGATTTGTCTGTAAAGTTACAGTAACTTTCAGAAGTTGTCGTTCACGTTACTTTAACTTTCAAGAGTTGTCTGTAATGCTACAGTAACTTTTCCATGTCGACACCATTCGTACGAATACTGGCTGATGTCATGGGTTTGTCCTCTTCGATTTGACCGTTTTCGTGATGATTGTTCTCGGTTACTGTAACAAACTCCTTCTTGGCGCGTCGCCAAAATAAAAAGTCCGACCATTCCCATTCTGAAACGAAATTTGCATAAATTTTGACAGGGTAGGATAGGGTAGGTAGGGTAAGACAATTTACCTCGATTCGCAACGCAAAACCCGATGAGCATGATAATATGACAAATGATAAAACTGTACACTAATGGATCCAGCCACCTCGAATCCAACATGGCTCGATTCACCATGTCTTCACATCTCTAAAAGATAACATATTGATATAAAAAGATAGTAGTAGAACAGTTAAGTACACTACAACGACTAGTACAACATCATATCATCAATATTAGGTTGTTCAAATAATGCTGCGCCCCTAGCCTTCAATTTTTTTTTAAAAAAGAGCTCATAATTATTTGATCAACATATATAAATCAAAAATTTTAAAATTTTTGGTATGATCATTAAAAAACGGCAACAAATAACCTATTTACATTAACTTAAAGAAACCACCCCCACCAACCACGAAACAACAACACACCCAAACACCGAGCACCTCTTTGTCGTCGTCGGTATTACAATTGAGTTGAGTCTCCAGCTCAGACAGGAACGACTCCTCCTTCTGAGCTCTAGTGAACAGATCCTGGAACAGTGAGTGGTCGGTCTCACAAGTGAACCATTGCCAAGATAAGGCACATCCACACAAGAACGCTAGGATTAATAGAAATGGTGCCATTATGTAACCAATAAACGGCTTTTTCACACACTGGAATTAACATAAATTACTGTAGTTTTAAAAATAAATTACTGTAATTTTAAACTATGAAACACATACTGTAAGTTCTAAAAAATTTGTAATTTTGAAAAAATTGCAAAGTTGTTCAAATAATTATGAGCCCCCTAAACCTCAAATTTGTTATAAAAAGTAGCTCAAACTTATTTGAACAGCCTAGTCAAAATAAAAAAAATTTTACAAAAAATTATTTTAAGTTACTATAGTAAACTTTTACTGTTACAGTAACTTTCGCAATTTGTCTGTAAAGTTACTCTATAAAAAATATAATGTTTACTACAACTTACTATTGTGATTTCCGTATCATCGGTCTGCTGCATCGTACAAAACTGTGGCACTATGCACAACATTGAGTATAATATCGTTACAGTTGAGCATAACCACATTATTGTCAGTTTGTATTGATACTGAAGTAGATAAAATATTATAGAACTTAGAAAAACGCACAAATCCTTTATAAAACTTGACGTATTTTACATTTTTTTACTTGATTTAGATCAGTTTTCCGAAATTTATAAAAAAAATTTTATTTACAGTCAAACCCCTTTAGTATAACACTCAAAAGACTGGTTCGAACTTGTCCTCATGACCAAGATGTCACAATTTCAAAGGGCATACTAAAGAGATGTCACTGTATAAAATTGATAAAAATTGATATAAAAAGTTATTAGAATTCTCACCATATCCAACTGATTCCGTTCATGTATCGTCCAGACGAAGTCCTTTGGATCCCCTTTTAGTAATGTGTCATTGAACATTTTGAACGCGACAGGAAAGATCTTTGTCGACAAATCCCAAAACTTTTGATCTAAAACAAAAAAAACTTAAATTAAGTCATTTTTTCAAAAATAATTTCATATTATATAAGATTGACTTACTAATCGCCATAACAAACGCGTTCCAGGCCAGTTCGAGGCCGCAGAAGAAGAAGATGCCCACGCGGAAATAGGGCGGCAGATAGTTTCGGACGCATGCCATACGGTGATCCGCTAGGCCTAAACCTAAAAAATGTCAAATTTAAAGTTATTGTAACATAGAACTTTTGAAAAACGAACGAAAAATAAAAGTAAAATTAAAAAAATTTAGAGTTTGTGTAAAATACGATATTAATTTACAACTTTAACACAAAAAAACACAGTAATTAGCTAATAACATCTATCATTAACATGAAATGTACCCAATCTGCCCCGCTCAGAATTAGCTCCAAGTTTTTATATAACTTCTTTGTACCACCAATAGTACCCATAAAAAATTTTATCTCGCGCTTTTGAGTTTTAGATTTTAAATATCTCAGTTTTCCGCCAATTTGAAGAATTTGGCATTGTGTTTCAAGAAATGCCTTTGATTTTCCAGACAAACTACGCTTATAAAATTTAAAAATGTAAGTTCTTTTAAAGGTTTTATATAAGCATACCAAAGAAATATTCTTAAAAGTCAAAAAATGACAAAGTTATAAGCTTAAAACACCCTGCCAATTTGGCGGAAAGTTCAAAACAGGATTTATTGATTTCGATGTTTTTGAGATTTCCTGAAAATCACGGTTTATTACTTTGCTGCAGATCTCATATTTACACGATCTTCCTATATAAAAAGTTTTGAAGTCAACCAAAGAGGCAAGAAGTCGGACACTTGCATTGTTAGTTAAAAATCTATTAACAAGCCTAAACAGTAAACGTAAAAATCATAAAGTTTTTAAAATGCGACAGTTGTTGATATCTCACTTTAAAAAATTATAAATACTACCACAACGAATTCCAACGTATTTTACATAAAACCCCTGGATGATAACAAAAACTAGTGTTAAGAAGGAGAGTTTGGGGGGAAGTAATGTCCAGAAGAGAGGAAAATGGAATTGGGTTAATCTTTTATGTCGTCACATCATATTTGATGCACGAACATGACTAAAAATAAGATTTGCATCAACTGTAATTACATACAACGGCTATTTCACATATCTACAGTCAAGTAAATTTTAGCATTTTATGTTGAAAAATTTGTGAAACAGTCCTTTTTATCAAAAATGGCATATATTATAGTAAATTGTTGCATTTTGATATTTTGCATTATTTTATTGACTGTTCAAAAAGTAATGAGCCATGTGTTATACGAAGTTGTTCAAAAATCCTAAGCTTCCACTCAAAGCAAACTTGCTGTGTTATAAGGCACAGAATTAGTTGAAAAATCTAACTGCAAATTTTCCAAAGCTAATTTTCAAATTAGTAGCTTGTTCAAAAAATAGTGAGCCCCTTTACAACGCGAATTTGCTGTGTTTGGAGCGGAGGCACAGAATTATTTGAACAACCTAACAGTTATTTTTTAATCGTAAAACTAAATTTAGATAAACTAAAAATATAAAATTTTAAAAATCGAACGCCAAACTGTTTGTTTAAAAAAAAATAAAAATTGAGCATCAAAAAAGCCACGAAATAGTAGCGAAATCAAAGATTCCGACACAGAATTTTAAATTTCAGGAATTTTCTTTCCCAATGTGTTTCACTTATAAAAAAAGGTAAAATACGAGTTGTGAACTATAACCTTAACACGACAAAAAATGCTTCAAGTTTTCAATTTTTATAAAGTATTACAGATTATCAGAAATCGTTAAAGAAGTGAGGTAGACCAGACTTAATAATAATATCGGAAACAGAAACAAAGGCTAGATGGCAATAGGGGCGACAAAAAGGCTGTGTAGACTAAATACAACACAAAAATTTAAAAGTTTTTTTTATTAACTTCTTTTGATTTTTTAGGTAATACAATCAATAAATGATCTAAAAAAAATGAAAAGTTAAATTTTAAATTTTCTTTTTTTTTAAATTTTAAAATGCAAAATTTTTTAATGAGCCAGCCTGAGGGAAAATAAAAACGGGCTAAATCTAAACATTAATAACTGGGCCAGGTAGAGTCTCCTGTAGACTTGACCCGGCCCGTTTCTCACCTCTAACTGAGCCAATAATAAGTTTACAAAGAGAGCAAAAGCCTAGCCGGCTAACCCGGTCTGAACAAAACTACAAAAAAATCAAGACTTTTAATTAAAAAAAATAAATTAGAAAAAGTCAAAAAAACTAAAAAATTTGTATTTAATCTTTGGGTCGCTTTTTATATCAAAAATACTAAAAATTTTTAGTTTTTATTACAACTTCCTTAAAAATAAAAAAAAATTTTAAAACTAATAAAACTTTCACAAAAATTAGAAAAAAAGATAATTTGAACAAAATCCGTGTCCGAAAAAAATTATCCGATTGCGGGCCGGCTGGAAAGCTTTAGCCGAAATCTGTGTTTTTTGCTCTGTAAAGCGATTAAAAATTAGGCGTTGTAATGAGAGAAAAAGAGGCAAATAAATTTATAAATGTATGGCGTTAAAAGCGGCCCCAGAAGGGGGGAAATACGAAGCCGCGCAACACCGAAAAACGAAGCCGGCTCGGCTCTGTTTTTGGGCTGTCTTTTGCGTAATCATTTATACTTTCATGTGTTACGTATCCCCAAAAATGTTAATGTTGAACGGTCCGCTTCCTGGCTTTAGTTATAATGTCATAAGAAGAGCTGTAATACTAGATATGGTCAGATATGACAAATTTGTAGTATCTAGGAGCTACAACTTTGTCATATACGAGCCGTGTACACCTGGACCGACCCAAACTATTAAAATCATAAAAGAAAGATCAAAAGTTAGGACAAAGCCCAAAAAAGTAGTAAAGACAAGTTTAGATGATACTATAGTGAAACTTTTTCATCATGACTCTCGATAGTATGACCTTCTCTTTGTAATGACAGCTTTCTGATCGCCCTTGTAGTAGGACTTCTATCAAAAAGTACCTGAGTACTACAACATTCTGCTTGTAAAAACAGGTTTAGAGCAGACCCAATAGTGTCGTACTAAACAAGTTTGACTGTAATCTAAAAAAAGTCAACATCACAAAAGCTGAACTGTCAAAAGTGAATAAAATCGACAAAAGTATAATCAACTAAACCTAACAGTTATAAGAGATATAAAATAATACAAACTCTAATAAACACAAGACGTTGAAGTTTCTCAACAAAGCCTACAGTACAATAATCTTTGTAAAAAAAATATTTTTTGATTGTAAAAAGTATCACATCATATTCTTTCACACACACCTATTCCCTGCTCGTATTTTACAAAAAAGAGAGAGAGAGAGAAAGATCGTACGATTTGCGGGAAAGCCAGAGAGAAAGAAAGAAATCTTGAGAGTAAAATACGCTTCCTGTGTCTAGTAGTGCATTATCATACCTATGACTATAACGTAGAAAAAACTTGCTTGATATGTTAAAGACAAAGTAAGTTACGGGTTTCTGTTGGCTTATATTTAGAAAATCACTCATCCTAATTGTAATATTAAGTAAAACGCTTTTTAACAAAAGTAGGTAAGAAAGTCTCACACTTAAAAAGAATTTTCATTACTGTGGAGGTTTGCGTATAACAAAAAAAGTAAGTTTTAAAAATTTTTTTTGGTAAAATTAACATAATAACTAATTGAAAGAAGGCCCTATAATCTAGAAAAAATTATTAAATACCACTCCTCCCCATCCAACCTACAAAAACAAATACCACACCTCCCCACCTCACATATAAAAACAGGTACCACGCCTCCCCATCCCACCTATAAAAACTCAAAAAGCCCTTTACATTAGCTGAATAGCCGAGAAATTGCATTACAATTAAAGTCTCGACAAGTACATTGAAAGAGTAAATACAAAGTAAATGTCAACCACTTCCGCGACGCACATAGTAATATAGTATAAAAGCGAGACGTAAATAGATCTCGTCGTACTCAAATCCAGCCTCAGGGGAAATGTAACATTTACATTATTTCTGATATACTTCAAGGTTATCTATCATTTAGTTCGGGGTTTCAAAAGTTTCAGATTTGGTATGGTTATGGATGTTTTGAAATTTAAATAGTAAATTTTGAGTTCTGGGGGGGGGGAAGTTTAAAGTACCCCTCACGACACCCTGAACCAATCGCTTAAGCGTAATCAACGTCTCAAGGTGCCCTTCTCCTCCCCAATGCAGGGCAAAAGGAGGGGAGAAAGATTGAAAAATATATCAAAAATCATACCCTGCCCTCTACAAAATTTTTTAAAAACACGCTCCTCCCCTTCTCCAACTTTTACCCCGCCCATCCCTGTCTTAGCCACCTTCCCATCGTACCTTTTATTGTTAGTTAAAACTGTTAGGTTGTTTAAATAATTCTGAGCCCCTCTCAAGGCACTCTCCTCATCCCAAACTTTTACCCCGCGCGGTGCCTTGTACTCTTCCCACCCTATCTTTTATATAAATTATTAAGTCGTTCAAAAAATTCTGTGTTCCCTTTAAAAACAATTTTTTGGTGTTAGAAGGCACAGAATAATTTGAAAAAATTTACTTAAGAATCTCCGTCGGAACGTAGAAGTTTTTTAAAATTTTTGTTACCTCATCCCCTACCCTATTATATCAAACACAAGCGAAACCCCTTCCCTCCGCCCCCATAAACATTCATCTTTCTTAAAATTTTCCGTTACTCACCCCCTACCCTCTCCTATCAAACCCAACCAAAAACCCCCTCCCAACCGCTCGCCACTGTTGAATAACCAACAACACGGCCAAACATACATATTCCATTACATTTCCGCTAATTATATATTCGAAAGCAGAAATTATGTGAATAAGTAATGTTTTCAAAGTAATTTACTGTTTCGTATAAAGTTGTGACGAATAAAGGAAGAAAACGGCCTCAGGATATTATAATAGAGCAACGTCACAGACATTTAAGACCCTCAACAATTTTCGCCTTTTCTCCAAAAACTTTCAACTCCTATTTACAATTACACTTGGCACGATTTGAAAGAAAGGAAAGGGGAGGGATGCGCATGGAAATGAGGGGAAAATATTAAAGTTGGGGGTAGATTCTGGTAAAATTTAGAATAAAAATAAAGTTGTTGTCCTAAGGGGGTAAAAAAATAAGCCCTCTTTAAAT